TTGCTCGGGACGTTTGTATTCGAAGCATATCTAACAGAGCGTTGTGCCAACCACAGAACACCCACCCTGGTGGGTGTTTAGGCGCCACCCCGGCCTCCTTGGGCTAGCTTCCATTTGATCTTTTCACGCCAGTGTGGTCACACAAATCCCCGCTCGGGCTCGGCTGTTGGGTTGCGAGCAAAACGCTTCCCCCCCCAAAAAAAGATAGACGGGTTTTGGGCATCGCAGCGCATGAGTTTTATTAGGTTTTGTCTTCCTAACCTCATGCTTAACATGCTGAGTCGCGGCGGTTGTGCGGGATATGCTTTAAACAAATGGTCTGTCTGACGGAAACGGCGTCAAAGATCCCTGTGGGACGGACACGTTGTCAACGATCGTCCTTCTGATGGGTCTGCTGCCAAGTTGTCTCGCTGACGAACAAGATGTCAACAGACGGCTCTCTGATAACTTGACATCGACAGGTCGTTTATCCATCGAAGCCGGTGTTGGCATATATCACCTCCGTTGGCATTCATGCCAGAAGATCTTCCGCTGGGTGGACTAATGTCAACGGATTAGCTCTTTGGCAGGATAATACCGACATATTGTCTCTTGCAGTACACGTAATGTTGACAGCATGCGCACCTGCTGAGATATGCATTTTGGGGCAGAATGCTAACAGGTCGCTTCTCTGCCAAACCGATGTCGACCGATTCTCATGTAGACAGTCATGAGAATCAACTACACCCCTGACAGTCATAGTGAAGACGCATCGTCTGCATAGTAGTCTTGATGTCAAAAAATCGGTCTTGGTGTCAACAAACGAACTACCTGAAGGACATGATGGCAAAAATCCTCTCACTACCGGACGCCATGTTGACAGATCGCCGCTCGCACAGACACCATGATGTCTGTGCGATGAATGATGATGTCTGAACACACACGTGGCGGACAAGATGACCGGCATGATGTCTTGTACAGACCCGTGACGGAAGAACTGTCAACAGATCGTCTCGCTGACGGACCTGATGGCTGGCGTCAAAGCCGAATCGAAGACGTGCCAGCTGTTCCAGCTGACCTGCTGGCCGGACGGATACAAGGTACCCCACATCCACCAACGCGCTCGTCGAGCTGATGAACATGGTGGGAGAGGTGGCGACAACGCTCCGGCTACGGGCCCGTCGTTGTCGTCTCGCCGTGAGTACAGCGGTTTTGCTTACCTCAGTTCTGCGTGGGCCTGTTTTTTTCTAACTGCCTACCCGTGATCAGCTGATCGCGTTTGCACATGGTAAACCAGGGGTCCAGCCGGCCGGCTGATCATGAACTTTTTTGGAACTCGGGAAGGCTTTGGACTTGCTCTGGATGAGGTCTGTATCGCGGTCAGTTTGCGGGCGAGTGGCCCTTCGGTCGGAAATCAGAGGCCGTTTGCACGTGACCGAGCTGCACAGCTCGGGAAATTCCACAGTTCGAAACTCTCACGCTTGCCCCCACGGCACTAAACTGCGCAAAACAGATTAAATTAAGTCGCTATCTTTGTTCCGCAGCTCTTCCGTTAAGATTCAGGAACTCTGTTGCATATCTAAGGTAACTTTCGAATGTCAGATATTGTTGGGCGCTGCCTTCGGCAACATTCACGGTCACAGAGGCTATTTCCAGCGGCGCCCATTTTCCGGTCGGCTTCAGGCGAAGTGTACGAGACCGTTTCCAGTTGTTGGCGCTGCTGCGCGCTGTTGCCAGTGACCTCACCTGCTCCGCTCGGCTTCCAGTGGCCATGGCGCCGTGGTGTTCTGTTTCCAGGAACAAACACCATTCGGCTCTTTTTCCAGGCACAGCTACTATTCGGCTCTGTTCCCAGGGACGGTCACCGTTAAGCTCTGCGCCCTTGGTCCGGCTGTGTTGCTCTGTTCCCACAGCGCGGCTGTGTTGCTCTGTTCCCATAGCCCAGCTGTGTTTGCTCTGTTTCCATTTGTGGCCCCTGCCCAGCCGTTTCTGACGGCAGCCACCGTGTACTGTTGTCCTGGCAGCGACGGGCAGTGCCGGGCGGGCGTGTACTGCGCGGCAAACGCCTGCATCGAGCAGGTGGTCCAGCACAGCGAGGTGGACGTGTTCCAGGCGGTGAAGACCGTCCGCCAGCACCGCCCGCAGCTCATCTCCAACATGGTGAGCGGCCGGCGACGCCGCCGGCTCGCCCGCCACCCGCGGCGTCTCACGAAACAGTGGTAGCTATGGACGTGCTGAACGTTACCTGCCGTCACTCATGAAGGCTGCCACCATCGAGGGCGGATGTAATGGATATTCGATATTTACAACACGAGGAAAAAAGCGTTCATCCAAGACCATACTCAAGTGCCTATGCACAGTGATATGGTTTGTTTCAGTGCGAGCAATAATCACGACGCTAGCTCAAATCAGTATACGTTTTGCACGACTGTATAAAGCTTTGCTAATAGCGTTATCTTGTATAGCCCACAAACACCAGCGAGCAGTCTTGAAACGAAGCGAACATTTCTCTGGGGGTCAGCTTTGACAATACATGAGAATACATGAGTACATGAGTACATACAATACATGAGTCATGAGGAGAATGATAGGGCAGCGTGCAGTGGTGATCAGTCTCTTGGGAATGGCCCCAGCGACACTCACAGATGCGTTCTCTTTTTCAAGATGGAGTACAAGTATTGCTACGACCTGGTCCTGCACTACGTTCTGCACTACCTGAACAAAACCCACGCGGTCCCCTAGATGAAGTGGCACATGCAGTTCCAAGATCCGCCACTTGCGGCGGCAGGTGACGAGACGTGACGTCACAGGAAGCTGCGTCTCCAAACGGTGACGTCACGAGCGATAAACATCACTCGGACGTGACGTCAGCTGCGGTCACCGGCGGCCAGCAGGCCGGGCGCCCGTTTTTTAGCGCGTGTGTTCCAGCCGGGGCGACATGCGCGCACCTGGCGGCCGTCGGCAGAGACATCCGGTGGGGACGGCGAGGTCCGCCTCCACACGAAAACGGCCTGCACCCGCTCCTCTTAACACGAAGCGTCTGATGACAACCACAGCTGCCGAGTTTCCAGTCCCACGTCGCCCATGACTCGCTCTGGCGTGATAAGATTAGATCCGTGGCAACCGTGTCTGTCCCGAGGGAATGCGCGAGGTTATGTCGACACGGCATGCCCGTTTTGATCAGCATTGAATCTCGGCTGCGCCACCGAACCACACCAACGTGGTCCGCCATACCAGCATGGTCTGCTGCACCAGCGTGGTCTGCTGCACCAGCGTGGTCCGCCGTATCAGCGCGGTTTGCTGGATCAGCGCGGTCTGCCGCACCAGCGTGGCCCGCCGCACCAGCGTGGTCCACCACACCAGCGTGGTCTGCCGCGCCACCGCGGTCTGGTGGCATCGCTCTTAGTTTTGCCCCACACGGATGTGCAGACTGACTGATGCTCCCACGCGACTCTCAGGTGTTGCCAATGCATAGGACCCGCCCGCTGAGTGACTCAACACTCGGCGGCGGCTTGCTCTAGTCACGTGAACCGCGTCATCGTGTCACTCAGCTTCCGAAAATTAGCATTATAGCTGCGTTAGTGTGCCTCATTTCGTGTTTACAGTGTTAGAAGTTTTTCATTATTCGCATCAATAGATGAAAACTGAAAAGGCGCGAGAAATCTTTTGAAATTTTGTATTTGCCAAAATATTTCTTCACAATTAATGTTCCACGCCACAGGCCCTCTTCCAAATAAACAATGTTTGCATGTTTTGTGACTGCGAATCTTAACAAAAAATATAAACTTTTAGCACTTCCTCTCTATACATGTTTCAGAATATCCCGTGCGTTGATAATGACCATATACAGTGTCAATGGGTGATCAGTGTTTGGTGCGCACTTGGGCGTATTTGACTGCGTTATAGTTAACCCAACGTCGTGATACTAATTGAATTTTGACGATGTTTCCCCCCTTGAGCCGGACATTCAATTAGACTCTACAGCTACGGAAGCCCCGCTAACTCAACCGTTAAATGTCAACGCAAGATTGATTCTCTAGGCTTAGTCGTATTAGCATTGATTTAGTCGTTTAAGCGGACGGTGGGATTTCGTGGCGGCTAAGAACCGTGTATACCAAATATATTGGGCATCAATTCCGCGTGTCCAGTGTGCATACCAATCACTCCGTCTGCGGCATGAGGGTAAGACGAAACGCGGCATGTTGCACTCAAACTCGCGGTCCCCCGGTGATAAACCAAGCCGTCTACAATCTCGAGCGCGCGTGCGCGAGCTGGTGGCTTGGGCAGCCGGTCCCAAACAAGTGCGGAAGATGTAACATTAGACCCACAACAGCAGAGACAGGATCAACACGCCTGTGACCGCCGTCAGGCTGGAGCCGTCGCGTCGTCTGCCACCGTCGAATTCGCCAGCCTCGGGGGTGCATCTGATCCCATGACGAATAGAAGCGCATGTTGACGGCCACCGGCCAAGGATCAGATCATCACTCAGACGCCAGAGGGCACCACTTTATTGGGAGGTTTATGTTGGTAAGCATACCAACGGCGAGCGCGCCGCCGTCCAAGAAATGGAGAAAAACGTTGCGGCGACACGACTGAATAATTGTTGCCCCGAGGTTGCCACAATACATTGGTTGTGACCATCTCGTTCCAGCACGCAAAAATAGACATTCCACACTTTGTACGCCTGGTATTCCATGAAAAGCTCTGGGAAATGTGACCACCATACACATACACGACCTTTGGCAGCATTCGGTGACGATAGGCACGTGGTATGCAGATCTGCCCCGGCAGGTCAAGTACAGACCAGCAGAAGCCTCAGTATCTGATACAAACACATAAACACACACATACGCAGCGGTTAAAGCATGTAGGTAACGGGAGACCGCTCCACTAAACACCAACCAGTGCAGCGAAAACACAAACAACAGAAACGGGACTAGGTCGACACCTGACAAGACGAGCGCGCTGACGGGAGCCTGGTGCAAGGAAGCTCTGCATGGTCCATCGGCGCTACTGGCACATCTGCACGTTCTGACACCAGGAATATACAGCAGCAGTACGGAAGCGGGCCATGCTTCCCTGCTCCAACCCACAGTGGGTATGAATCTCACGTACACAGGATATGTCACAGCGACGGCACACAGACACGGCGCCGGATCAACTGCATTGTGCTGTGCCGCCCGCCGGCTGAAAACGTCCACCTGAACCTTCCAACGGTTTTCGGTTGCCGCCAACCGTCCCCGCCACCTTCAGCCCTTCCCCAGCTCTCGCTCCAGCTGCCATCCATCCCCGATGGGCTCCGGCTCCGGTCCCGGCCAGGTTCCGGCTCCGGCCTCTCCTACCATCGGCCTCCGCTCGGTCCCGGCTGAGTTTCGGCTCGGGCTCCAGCTTCGGCTTCGGCTTCGGCTCCGGCTTTGGCTTCGGCTCCGGCTCCGGCTACCGTCCGTCTCCACGCGGTCCCGGCTGGATTTCGGCTCGGGCTCGGACTCGGGCTCCGGCTACCGTCCACCTCCGCCCGGCCCCGGCTGGGTTCCGGCTCGGGCTCGGGCTCGGGCTCGGGCTCGGGCTCCAGCTCCGGCTACTGCTACCGTCCTCCGGCTCCAACTCCGGCTCTGGCTCCGGCTCCGACTTTGGCTCCGGCTCCGGCTCCGGCTCCGGCTCCGGCTCCAGCTCAGGCTCCGGTTCCGGCTACCGTCCGTCTCCACGCGGTCCCGGCTGGGTTCCGGCTCGCGCTCGGGCTCGGGCTCGGGCTCGGGTTCCGGCTACCGTCCACCTCCGCTCGGCCCCGGCTGGGTTCCGGCTCGGGCTCGGGCTCGGGCTCGGGCTCGGGCTCCAGCTCCGGCCACCGCTACCGTCCTCCGGCTCCAGCTCCGGCTCCGGCTCCGGCTCAGGCACCGGCTCCGGCTGCAACTGCGGCTCCGGCTACCGTCCGCCTCCACCCGACCACGGCTGCGGCTCGGGCTCGGGCCGTCCGTGGACCCGGAAGCGGTAGAGGCAGGTGTAGTGCGGGTGTCCCCAGTTGGAGGTGACGCGCAACTGAACGGCGCGGAAGGCGCGGCCGGCGGGCGCCGCGGCGAAACGCTGCAGCGGCGGACCCCGCTCCTCGTACTGGAATTCACCGAGCGGCACGGCCTCCTCCGCGAATCCAGTCACCCCCTGGCGGCGGACACCACAACGTACATCACTCCTGGCGTACGTGTTTTAAGTAAGGCGACGGACAGAACAGTCAGGGCCGACCGACAGGGTGGCGGATCTTTTCATTCACACGTGTATCCAAACGCACAGGTAATCTTTTGAGTGAGATGCCGTTCCTCTAGCACGATTCACATTTCAGAGCGTACGCGAGGGGACAGAACGTGCCTCGAGCGCCCCTGCCAGCGGCCCTCGCACGTCCCGCCATCACCCCACCCACCCGGCTCGCCTTCTCCGCTCTCACCAGCACGGCGAAGCGACGCGGCGCGGAGCGCACGCTGCCGTCGGGCGTCAGCTCGCGCGCCACGTGCTCCAGCACAAACTCGGTGGGCCGCACCAGACGCGACAGGCCGATCTCAAGCAAGCCCTCGCCGTGGAAGGCGAAGCACTCGCCCGGCCGGCCGCCCGCCTGCGGAAGCGAGCGAACGCGGGCCACACGCGTGCCGAGAGCGTCCCACTGCCCGGCCACCGGTCAGGAGGGCGGAGCGACCGTCGGTCACACACGCGACAGCCCATGCCAACACCAGCGTCTGCACACCCACAGGTACCACTCAACAACCGAAGCACGTGACGTCCGATAAGACGAGACCCTCGACATGTCCCAAATCGGGGCTTAATGGAACGAAGAACAGCAGAGTCGGTCCAGACCAACACTTGAAGGTAATGGCGAAATTCTCAAGCATACGCTTGACGCTTGCCCAGCCGCGGGGAAGTCGGGGCGGACACGGACCTCCCCGCCCCCGGGCATACCTCCTCGCCCCAGGTCACGGGTCCACGACGCCCCCGGCTCACCTGTATGACGGAGCGCGGGTTGTTCTGCGGGTACCAAACCGGGACGCCCAGCACCGTCAGCTGCGCCGCCCGCGCGCCGTACGCCTCGGTGCACTTGGTGCTGACGATGCTGCCACCTGCCGACTCCAGCGCGAAGTCGAACTGTCCCGTCTTGTCGGCGTCGTACAGCGCCAGCTGCTGCTGTGCGATGCTGACCGCTTGCTGCCGGCTGACGCCGCCCGCCAGAGCCGCCGCCCCGCACGACAGGTCTGCCGCCAGAGATCAGCCGCGGCTTAAGCGCGGGCGCCAGAGCCACCGGAACCTCGCTAATCAGCGAGATCAGAATTTACACGTAAAATTTCGAGCTAAGAAAGCCAGCATCTGGCTGAGCATTAGCACATCGCGTGAAAAAAATGACAAACGAAGAAGGCCCCTTCATTGCCGCATTCAGCATACAAGGAGTAGCCTGGGATAGCGGCGAGGGGGACCGAGTGCCACGATGACCGTCTATCCGCCGCCATGGGAGCCGCCGGCTCAGACCGGGACGTACTGTGCCTCAGCCCGGCGGCGTGCAGCTGCAGCCGCTGGTCGAGCCGGCGATGCAGACCACGTAACCGGCCGGCCAGCTGGCCGTCGCAGTCCGACGCCGTCCGGTTGCAGCAGGCGCGTGACGAGCCCACGCCCTCCTGGCGAAAGTGCGCCAACAGTCAGCACAGGTCAACAGTCCGAACAGATCAGCAGTGGCACGGTACACCAGACGCGCGGGGCATGGCACGTGATGCAACTGGAACACCCAGTGTGCCTACACATGAAACATTCAAAGTACCACTGCAACACCTTATCTCTGTTAAAGTAGCCCAGAGTTCGATGTTCACGAGGCCAGCAGGGAGCGCCATGACGTCACCGTGTCGGCACAACGTCGGCACCATGACGCACCTGCACGGCGAGGAGAGCACCGCGCAGGTGCCGGACGTCGTGCCGCAGCGTGTCCAGCAGCGCCGTCAGCGCGTCCAGCCGGCCGGCGGCCGCCTCGCCCTCGCGGCGCAGTCGGTCGACGGTCACCATCACACGCCGTACAGCTTCCAGCTGGTCCTCCGAGGGCGGCGGCGGCTCCGGCGGCTCCGACGGCGGCTCCGACAGCACGGTCCGCAGGGCGGCCAGCTGTGCCGTCAGCCGGGCGTCCAGCAGCGCCAGACGCTCGGCCTGGCGCCGCTCGGCGGCCGCCAGCTCCGCTGCCAAGCCCAGCGGCCGACCGGGCGGCGGCGGCGCCGCAGTCGCGCCGCAGCGCTGGGGAGAGGAGGGCCAGCTGTGACGGCGGGTGGACACGCGCCCCTGTCGGCGAAGCGGTCACACAGTCGGCACCGCACAGCACGCACAGATACAGACTAAGACGACAGACGAGAAGGGAAGAACGAAAAACCAGAGCCAACGAGCGCTGAAGTAGGTGTCTGAAACCTTGCCCAGAGCTCACGCAGCGCTAGTGACGTAGACAGCCCAACCACACCAGACCATCCGAAGGGCGAGGAGTGACGGAAGTCGACCGGCTGCGCGCAAGCGTCCGTCCTGCCACCTGCGCTGACCACGACGGCTGCCTCGCCAGGTGGCAGTCCTGCGCCGCAGACGCTCTCCGTTACCTGGCCCGCCGCGCCGAGAGCGTCCAGTCGGCCGCGCAGCTCCGCCAGCTGCCGCAGCGCCTCCGTCAGCGCACCCGCCGATGCCGACGCCGCGCCGGTGGCCGCCGGCTCCGTCAGAGGCGGCGGGGCGGCCAGCGACGCCCACCACAGCTGCCGGGCGGAGTCACGTCACGGGACCGTGGGCCGAAGAGGGACCACTGGGTCGTGTGTGACGGCCAGCCACTAAGCACAGCCTGGCCCACAGTTCCTGCCACGGCCACGTCACAGGGATCGCATTCCAAGGCGCGCTGTGATGAACGCTCTCGAACGCACGCCAGAGACCACCAAACCGCAATAAGAAGCTCAAGCCCATCACATACAGACAAACGCATACCATTACCACACTGGCGTCAGCACAGAACTCCACCGATAACCACATCGACCAGGTCGGCAAGCGCCGCGCCAGATCGCCGCTTAAATGCTAGCAGGGAGTCGCCAGACCCGCTGGTGCGGCACTCCGGCCGCGGGAAGGTGTGTACCTGAGCCGCCGACACGGCCGAGACGTACAGCGAGCCGAGAGCCGGCGCCAGCTGCCGGCCGACCGACCCCAGCTCGCGCAGCGGCCGCCAGTCCTCCGAGGACGGCGTCCTCCGCCCTGGGAAGACAGGCGGACTCCGTTAGCCGCGCAGAGGGAGAGGAGGGGGAGGAAGGGGAGGGAGTAGCAGAGGCAAGAGAGAGGAAGAGGGAGGATGGAGTGGAGGGAGCAAGGGAGGAATGAGAGAGGGATGAAAAAGGAAGAGGGAGGAGAGAGGGAGAGGGAGGAGAGGGTTAGAAGGAGAAGACGGAGAGGGATGAGAAGGGACAGGAGAGAGGAAGAGGGGTAGAGAGGAAGAGAAAGGCGAGGAAGGTGCGGAGGTAGTAGATATACGGAGAGGAAGGGGAGGAGACCATCGCACCGGCCACGCCGGCGGACCGGTGTCGGACCATGCCCAAAGACCCAGCCCACAGCCACGCACCGTCACACGTGCAGATGCGGCGACCACCGCCACGGCGATCTCTCGGGCTGGTGGCCCGCAGGATGGCCACGGGATGCTCGCCTCCGCCGTTACCAAGACCGGCCGAGTCCCGATCAGCGAATGTGTACAGCTGACTGAGCCGCTCATGACGTCACGCACGCCAGCCTGCCGTACTACCATACTCTGATCGAAACGCCGTGATACATGCACAGCCGCCGAGTTCACCAAGTTCAACTTCAAAGTTCACACGGCGGACCTACACGGCCATCGATGCCGTGATTAAGTGGGTTAGACCTGCCTGGTGTTGCCGAAGCTAGCTCGTGACCCTGAGGCATGGCGCTGCCCGGTGACTGTTGACGCGTCTGTTCTCGAGCTGCACGAAACTCACGAGGCCATTTTTCCCGCAAAGCCTGCCAGCTAACCGCCCATTTGTGTCCCACGCTGCACCGATGCCATCGCTCCGTGTCGGCCCACCAACAGAAAGGCCGGCCCCAGCAGGGAACTCACACGTCAGCGGCAGCAGCAGCAGCGGAATCAGCAGAAGCAGGAGCATGGCTAGCACCGGGAAGGTGGGACATCTCCTCTCCGCCCGACCAGCCTCTGCCTTCCCTGCAGCGTCCCCGGCGGCGGCGCCCGAGGCGCTGCCGGCCTGCTGGTGTGGCGCCGGCCTCGAGCCATCCACCGGGCTAGTCCGCCGCAGCAGCCGACGGGCGGGCCAGCCGGCGACAGCAGCGGCGTCACGTGGTAGGCTCAGAAGCTTCACTGTCAAGCGCGCCCATGAGATGGGGTTGGCGGCGCGGACGACCGCAGCCGGCAGCAGACCGAGCAGCGCCAGCACGGACCGCGGCACCCGGAGACCTGGCGACACACGACGGCACGGGCTTACGGACTCCCGAGATGACACCGACTCGCCGTCCGTCCGGCCGACACACGGCCCGAGCGCGCCGGCCCACCGCCGGAGCCGTCTTCCAACGTGCGGCTACGCGGCCGCCGCGCAGGCCCGACACATCCGACCCTCTTACCCTTTATCTTGCTTCATCCTTCCTCCTCGCGGCATCCCGCTTGTCCGGGGCAGGCTGCATGTGTCAGCCACGGGTGGGCCGAGAGCCCGATCGGCTACCCATCGCACATGCGCGGGTTAAAGCTCGGTGGTTTGCCCCTCAGGCGCATGCAAGCCTGCCCCACCGTTAACCATTTTCCTTCCTGCCATAGCTCTGAAATGATAATTTCTAGAGGAAAGGGCTCTAATCCAAACAACCAAACCGACCCGGCACGCGGTCGCCACACGCCGACAGCGCCGCCCACTCCACCGAACAGTGTCTGCCTCGCGCCCACAATCGATCAAGTTGCGTTGGGAGGCAGATTTGACAGGGCATGTGGCGCGTGGTCTTACCCGTCTTGTCGAAGTGTGATGCGCTGCTACAGCTGGGTGAGGTGTTGTGGCCTGCGTCAGGAGGAAAGCACTCGTCTTCAGATTCCATGTCCAAGCCCGAATAATTTCCGCTCGGTGCGCCTGCAACGGTTACAAATTCCGTTCTAGTCCAACACAACAACAATATTAAAGTAACGTGCCACGGGATCAGATAATTGGGGCGGGCTGTGGCGCCCGCATTCATAACGCTCATTTACGGACGAGACACAATGCCACACTGCATCCCCACATCACCAATTCGGCCAAGTCACACACGCCTTCTGCCGATTAGCGAACTCTGCCGGACCACCTACGCAGGGCATGCCACCATGCATAGCATGGGGCCCTGCTGCCCGCCCGTCCGGCCCAGAACAGGCACAGACCTGAGACACGACCGGGACTGGCGCCGGGCCCAGGACCAGGGACACAGGAACGGAGACGGCGGACACACGGAGCAGGACTGAAGCTAAGATGGGACCGGTAAATGGATAGGCACCGGCAATAGAACCGGTACGGGGACCACGACAGTGAGAGGCACTGAATCCGAGACCCAGACATGCACGGGGACAGAGACCGTGTCAGTGACCGGTACCGGGGCTACGGCTGGGACCGGGACCTTGCAGCGGACCGAACCGCAAACTAAAATCAGAGCCGGAGACGGAGTCAGAGCGCCGGCTGCCGCTCACCGCCCGCCGTCTGTCCCGAGTACAGTCCGAGGTCCGCGCCGGTCCACGGCTGTCCGCCGACCGCCAGACCGGGCGCAAGGCTGCTCAGGCCGGGCGGCAGACTGCTCAGGCCGGGCGGCGGGCTGCACAGGCCGAGCGGCGGGCTGCGAAGGCCGAGGGGCGGGCTGTGCACGCCGAGTCGCGACATGCTGGGCGGTCCGACCCGCTCCGGACAGATGGTGGTGTAGCTCAGGCTGCGCGCGTACGTGTAGTCGGTGCGCGGCTGCTTCCTGCAGAAGCGCGCCAGCGTCAAATGACGACCAGCTGTCGGCCTGGGGACTGTGGTATGTTATCAGCTGGGACTGGGGACTATGACATGTCGTCAGCTGGGACTGGGGACTAGGGTAGGTCACAAGGTGGGACTGGGGACTAGGGTAGGTCACAAGCTGGGACTGGGGACTAGGGTAGGTCACAAGCTGGGACTGGGGGCTAGGGTAGGTCACAAGCTGGGACTGGGGACTAGGGTAGGTCATAAGCTGGGACTGGGGACTAGGGTAGGTCATAAGCTGGGACTGGGGACTAGGGTAGGTCATAAGCTGGGACTGGGGACTAGGGTAGGTCATAAGCTGGGACTGGGGACTAGGGTAGGTCATAAGCTGGGACTGGGGACTAGGGTAGGTCACAAGCTGGGACTGGGGACTAGGGTAGGTCACAAGCTGGGACTGGGGACTAGGGTAGGTCACAAGCTGGGACTGGGGACTAGGGTAGGTCACAAGCTGGGACTGGGGACTAGGGTAGGTCACAAGCTGGGACTGGGGACTAGGGTAGGTCATAAGCTGGGACTGGGGACTAGGGTAGGTCACAAGCTGGGACTGGGGACTAGGGTAGGTCACAAGCTGGGACTGGGGATTGTGACATGCCGTCAGCGAGGACTGGGGACTGTGGCATGTCGTCAGCGAGGACCGGGGTCTGTGGCATGTCGTCAGCGAGGACTGGGGACTGCTGTATGTCACCAGAGAGGACCGGCGACTGTCACACATCATTAGCGAGGACTGGAGACTGTGACATGCTGTCAGCGAGGACTGGGGTCTGTGGCATGTCCTCAGCACGGACTGGGGCTGTGACATATCATCATCGGGGACTGAGAAACGTGGTTATCCTCAGCGAGGACTGGGGACTGACATGTCATCAGCAAGGACTGAGAAATGTGGTATATCCTCAGCGAGGACTGAGGACTGCGGTATGTCGTTAGCATGGACCGGGAGCTGGGGTATGGCCTCGGCAAGGGACTGAAAGCACAACATACCTGAGCCATCGCCACACACGCCCCGAAACCAGTGGTGAGTGCTCTAATCAAATCAATTCAAGGCAATCGCATTCTGCCACATTGGTACACACATCGACACACAGTAAGCTAGCGACAAGAGCTTCCGTATACATCAGCCGGATAACCACAGCACACAGGCCTGAAACCATTTACTGTACTGAGCAGAGTCATGTCAGGCTTCCCAGCCCCACGGTCCACCACACGACTGGCGGCATCACCCACAGGAAGTCCTCGAACTCCTCGTCGCTGCTGTAGGCCAAGTACTGGCTGAAGCTGGCGTCTCCGGCGGCTGCGGCGGCGGCGGCCGGCCGGCCGCGTTGGCCGGGCCGGGCGCTGCCGGCCGGCGACGCCGCACCCACCTCGTCAAACACCGAGGCCAGCAGCGCCGCCGTGCAGCCCGGCGCCGCCACGTCCAGCTGCGGGGCCTGCGGGCGGAGCGGTGCCAAACGGTCACCCGCAGCACGGCCTGCGGACGGAGCGCTGCCAAACGGTCACCCGCAGCAGGGCCTGCGGACAAAACAGCGTCGGAGCAAGGCTCGGCCCAGGCGTCTGGAAACCGGAGAGACACCGGTGCGTACACGAGGGGCATTTTTAGTACAGAGGTCCAGATCTACAATATGGATTGGACGTCAGCTACAATGCAGGAAACAGGCAAAAAAAGAAGAAGTACAATTGACTGACAACACATCGATATCGGTCAGCGCGCGACTAAACAAGCAGTTCAAGTATGTTTGGCCATGCCTTCGGAGACGGGCGCGCCACAAGAGCGCTGGGCCCGTGGCCGGCGCCGCACCTTAGCTGAGGGGGCAGCGGCCGGGCGTGGGTCGGCCGGACGCGACCGATGCGGACCGCCCAGACGGGAGGTGCGCCGACTCCGACCGCTGAAACAACACACGCCGGGCTAGAGCGACCGCCGCCGTCCACACAGGCCACGGCCACGGCCACGGCAGCGTCAGGCGGCGGCGGCAGGCACACCCGGTCAGGACAGACGAGCACGCGGTCAACATGGTGGGAGAGGCGCCGCCGGAAACCGGCTAGAAACCCAGCATTTATGGTCCTCCAGCAGGGGGAGAAGGGGGGGGGGGTAGCTGTTGACTGAGGTAGAAGACAACCCCCATGACACCAGGGCGCCCACCGGTCAAGGCCCCGCTACTTGCACGAATGGACAATCTTACAGGAACCTTAGCGAAGACGTGAACAGAACGCTTCTTCAACCTTACGCTAGCAGGCCTACATTAACTCATGAGCCAGGCGAGGACGGAAAGACAGGGGATGGAGACCGTCGACAACCAGAGGGCAAATCTCATCTGCAACACCACTCTCTCCATGCTTCGTCAGTTAATTTCAAACTTACGAAACTGGGGAGACGCAATGCCCCGTCACACTGTTCCTACATCTATAACGCAATAGCGGCATTTAGCATTCAAATGGGCTAGAAGCCACCGAAGGAACCACTAATACGACCATCGTAAAGCTTGCCAAGTAATACATTTGATGACGCCCCTCTGCCTCGCTCACATCAACAGGTGGGCTTCTAGGTCAGGCCAATGCTCGCCCTTCGTGGCGATTACGAAATTACATATGTCCACGACCAAAACGGCATCTCTAAGCCCGCAAGGATACAACATGGTCTGGGTCACAATTCCAGACGGCGTGGCACCAGCGGCGACGGCCACCGATGTCATCTGAGCCGCGCCGACGGGCCGAGCCGGCGCGCCGGTGCCGACAGCAAAGGGAGCGGGGATCGATGGCCCGCGCCGCCGCTCCCCTCGCGCCCCCGGTGTCGCGCTGCCGCCGCTCGAGGGGAGAGGGGAACGGTCGCCGCCGCCGCCAGCACACCCGGCCGCCCGGTGTCGCGCTGCCGCCGCTCGAGGGGAGAGGGGAACGGTCGCCGCCGCCGCCAGCACACCCGGCCGCCGGCGGCAGGGTGACGCTGGACGGACGCGGCGCCCGGCCCCGGCGTCCGATCGGCACCCGGAGGCAGCCGCTCTAACCGCTCCCGCCGACACCGGCCAGCCGCGAGCGGAGGCGGTGCTGCAGCTCTGCTGCCGCTCCGGTCTGGGCTCCTGGCCGGGTCACGCTGGCCAAGGGAACTCTGGCCCCCACATAGGACATGGGCATCGGGCTGGGTCAGCATAGACGGCGGACGGAGGCCGGATACGGCTGCTCTCGAGCCGCCTCCGATCAGGGCTGGCGCGCCTCTGTTGGTTTTTTTCCGGTCTCCCAGTCATTGATTCTGTCGCGACATACCAACGCGGTCACCGACTTTCGATGGCATACGACAGGACAGTACCCTTCATCCAATCACAAGTGACCAGACGCACTTCATTCTACCTCTCTCAGATCGACCCCAGACTCCTTTTTGCAGAGCACCCCATTCAAAAGAACACCACATAATAGTCGCAAGGCAATTGCCTTTTTTAGGACCAAGCGTGATTACTCGATAATTTGTTCCCGGGCACAAAGCCTAACATGGCGTGGGAGACCGCCATTTGACCAGCGCGGTTCGGAACAGCGTCGTCCCATTCCTCGTGGCCCAGCAAGCCGTTGTTTTATTGTTGGCTGAGAACAACTAGTGGACAGACGGTGGCATGGTAACACAATGACTAGAACCACCACTCACTATCCTTCCGCGATTGCTGAAGTTGGGACAGCCAATGGCCAGTTCACGCTCGTGTGGTCTGGCCGATCCTGGGCTTGCCGCAGGTCATAGCTCATCACAATGCCGGGTACGAATCAAAGCGGCATCCAAATCATTGACGACAATAATGACGAGCCCTCTTAGTCTCGTTGGGGGATCACCGCTCTCTCTGAAACCGCGTTGTCCCCTCCCCTCACTAAGACATGTGAGAAGCACGCCAAGCCCACTGCCGCCTCGCGGACGCCATGGTCGCGACGAAGGCGAGCGGGGCGGGGCGGGTCGCATGAAGCCCCGCGTGACGGCGCACAAATGGGGCAGGTGGGTCGCCGGGCGTCGACAGGTCATGTCAGCCCGGGACGGACACCGAGCACTGGCGGGGCCTAGCACGTGACCCCGGACCGCGCCCGGCACAGGTGCGGTAACACACACACCACTATTTTATGACCGTTCGGAACCGAACTGTGGAATCTGAATCCAAAGCTCCAAGCGTGCGCGACGAGCAGCGGCAAGCATCAGAATTCCAAACTGAGCGGGCCGGAACTTCACTGCCGTTGCGTTTCGTTCCGCGGTCATGAACAGCACTGCCACAGATCCTCAAACCTTCTCGTGATTGCGTCTCACGCTGCGTTCCTCACACGGATGATTGGGCGCGGCTAATTGGGTTGAGCGCCACGGCCGACCCCACGCGGCGCCCCGCTATTGACGCCGCAGTTCTGTTCAGCCGCGCGCGCCCCGTCGGGGCGTGTGCGGCCGACCCCGCGCTCTGGTTCCAGTCACCCGGTCAAACAAAGGTCGACGCACGCGCGACGCTGAGTGGCGCCGCCCGCGCGCCCGTTATTGTTTGCACGAGGACGCGTGCTTCCTACCTCTGCCGCATGCCCGCTTACGAGTGTGTGTGGAGGGAGCGGCGTGGCGGCCAGTGACAGCGGACGGGCGTCACCCGCTGCCGCCCGCGCCGCCGGTCCCGTCGACTGTGTCGCTGTGCCGCCGTCACACGGCCTCGTGGCGATCCAAGCCGTCTCGTCACCATCAACATCACCTCAAAACGCCGAGTCGGGACTGGAATCAACTACACTGGCGCAGACTTCAACACTCCGTTCGCCTCAACACGGAGGTCTGCGCCCGTATCTGATACGGCTGCTTCACGGGGTGCAGCAGGCAGGCGGCGGACGCCACGCATTCGTAGCGCCTCCGCCACTAGCAGCGATTTCATCATGGATGATATCCGGCCGGGGGCCCCGCGTCCGGCACTCGTCGCATACCCGCCACGCGTGTCGCCGTGGGCACGACCTCTACGCTGTTCCCCAACCACCGTTCCTCGTCCAGCACCGCCGCCCGACAGGCCCTGGCTGATCGTCCACCCGGACCGGGCACCGCCGGCACGCGGCCGGGCCGGGCGCCGCCAAGTGAATTATGCCCCGGCAGACCGACCGGCGCTGCGCGGAACCTTTTATTCATGAGGCGCGGCGCTGAAGGGAGGGGTGGTGCTGAACGAAGGAGGGGTGGCGCGGACGGCGTTCGCGTCGCAATGAGCGCGCCCCGTCTGGCCGGACCCAGATGTGCCGGTCGTACATGCCCAAACAACGCTGTGTACGCTGACCATACGTGGGATTTCATTCTGAGGGTTAATCACCATGGTATGACAGTAACATAACACTCAACCGTAGTTAAATAATCACTGGAATCTGAGCCAAAGGCTCGTTACACCAAACACTTATCTCTCATCAGTGATGCCCATTTTTGCAAGCCGATTCGATGCTGTATTTGTGATCCCTCCAATTTGCTGTTATCCACAGGCTAAAAGCACTGCGTTCACAACTAGAATTTTCAGTGCCGAGTTCATTTTGAGTTACGCCTTGGGTTTCACCTATCCGGTGAGGAGTCAACACTTTGTTACTTCGTGCCGCTTTTACGCTCCACAGGGCCCTTCCATGTCTGAAGCGCAAGGCCCGCCAAACTCGAACCACGCAATCTGACTTCCCCGGAGTAAACTGAGATCTAGAACATTGACGCCAAAATCCTTTGAGGAATTAATTCTTCAACCGTGCGACACATAAAAACGAACGAAAAAGTCATCGCAGTGGATGTAACCCCCTCCAAACTCGGCCACAACACAACGCTACCGCAACAACCAAGAAAACAATAATTGGGCAGAACCGACTGACAACGGGCGCGTGCTGGCTGTGGCTTAGCGGTGACGCGCTAATCTTGTCACCCGCAATCCGATTAGACCCCCGAGCTCGCCAGCCGTCTCCGCGGCGCGTCTGGCGCACCGCTCCGACCGCTCGCACAGCCGACCTGCAGCACCATCCGACAGCCCACATATCGGACAGACGGCATGCCACACGACACGCACGTGTGGCAATGGCAGCTGGCTCGGTCAGACCGGTGGCAAACAAGGACATCGGCACACCGGCCGGGGAGGCCGCGCCCCGTGAGTCACCACGGTGTCGCGGACGTGGTGACCCAGCTTCGATCACGCGGCTGCGTGACCTCGCCGCCGCAGCGCTTCGGTCCCGCGGATCCGACCTTGCGGATACAGCCAGCGGGGCTGCAGCACCACCAGGTTCAAAAGCGCTGCGCCGTCCGACCGTTGCCCAGGAATGTCGCGCGGCCGGCGGTTCGCCGCGTCGAGCCAAGCTCGGCATTGCAGGCTCACGGCACGTGTCACGGGCGCGGAGGAATGACAAACGCCCCCCGGCGGGGGTCACCGGTGCACCGCCCAGCTCTCGTCTGTCGAGCGGCGGCTGGGATCATCAGTGCACCGCCCGGCCCTCGTCTAACCAGCGGAGGCTGGGATCATCGGTGCACCGCCCGGCCCCCGTCTGTCGAGCGGCGGCTGGGGTCACCGGACCGCCCGGCCCCAGTCTGTCGAGTGGCGGCTGGGGTCATCGGTGGACCGCCCGGCCCGCGTCTGTCGAGCGGCGGCTGGGGTCATCGGTGCACCGCCCGGCCCCCGTCTGTCGAGCGGCGGCTGGGGTCACCGGACCGCCCGGCCCCAGTCTGTCGAGCGGCGGCTGGGGTCATCGGTGTACCGCCCGGCCCCCGTCTGTCGAGCGGCGGCTGGGGTCATCGATGCACCGCCCGGCCCCCGTCTGTCGAGTGGCGGCTGGGGTCATCGGTGCACCGCCCGGCCCCAGTCTGTCGAGCGGCGGCTGGGGTCATCGGACCGCCCGGCCCCCGTCTGTCGGGCGGCGGCTGGGGTCATCGGTGCACCGCCCGGCCCCCGTCTGTCGAGCGGCGGCTGGGGTCATCGGACCGCCCGGCCCCCGTCTGTCGAGCGGTGGCTGGGGTCATCGGTGCACCGCCCGGCCCCCGTCTGTCGAGCGGCGGCTGGGGTCACCGGACCGCCCGGTCCCCGTCTGTCGATCGGCGGCTGTGGTCACCAGTCCACCGCCCAGCCCCCGTCTGACGGGCGGCGGCGGCCGGCCGCCGACTGAGGTCCCGTCCACGGGCTTGCCACCAGGCCGTACCCCGCCCATGACATAGCAGGGGGTAGCTGCGGAGGTCGCCGCGAGGCACTGCATGCGCGGCTCAGGCCCACATAGCCGCGGAGAAGACCTAAGGGGTCACGTTCCGTCGGGGTTAACGTCCACGATCAGCTGGAGTCAAAGGTTGCCCCCCGCCAGGTCGGAGGTCATAGACATGAACGGACAATCGGGCGGCCAGCCAAACTGATATGGACGCGTTCGCGAAGAGCTAGTTCTTCATTCTCTCTTTTATTTCATCACGCACTTCATGAACTGGCAGACAGGCTGTAATTGCACTAAATCCGCACATTGCTAAGGATCTGTAATTATTGAAAGAATGCTCGCGGCGTCTACAAGCGGGCTACGTTCACTCAACTGCGGATGCTAAGTTTGCCCGAGCCACTCGTCTTTGCGGACCGCCATAATCCTGGACAGTTTACACACGGTTGGATATGAATATATGACGACTCATCAACATAACGACAAGGCAATCCTGCACGGTGAGTGGAGCGCACCAGTCCTGTGGCGGCAAAAACAAGCTCAAACCGCGCGGGCCAATGATCCCATTAGATTGTGCTCATTGTAAGATCTCACTGGAAACCGGACAACCCGTGCGACAGCATGCACCCCGCAGGACCATGGAGCAGCTGCAGGCATCGACAAGCAATACAGATTGGTAATGACCGCTGTTTTCCTCGTCAGCGAGCGGGCCGGTCAGCTCGCATGTCCGCAGGCCGTAAACAGTGACGGGCGTAACAGCGCGGGGTCGTTCGACGTTACAGGCACGCACTCCGTGCTCACAAGCTCAATCAGGGGGAAAGGGACACGGCCACGAGCTCATAGGTTAGTTTCGTTTGGCTGAGATTAAAGCCCCTTCGGCCAACAATAATCATTTCCTATATGTCGGATTAAGGAGAGTGGAGAGTGGTGGGTCCATATTACACGTATCTGGGAGTAATATCCTCCAGAGACTTACCCCGCATGGGGACCGCTCTCCGAATATGTGCGGGCACTCGGGCTTTCTCCAACCAGGGCAGCACTTCAGGCCTCCCACCGCTAATGCCCACAACTTACCACGGACAAACGGAACGTTTCAAAGATTCAGTACTAATCGGTGAGTGATGAAAGAGAGACCTCACCAGGCCCCTTCCGTCACTTCCCCGGCGATAGGCATACCGGTCCGACTTCGGAACGAACTTACCTGGCAGGCGGAGGGTGCCAGGCCGGATCCGAGCGATGGCGCTGCTGTGGCGCATACCAGCCACTGTCAGCGCCGGCCGCGCGGCCCGAGCGTCGCACCATCGAGTCCCCCATCCGGCCTGGCTCGACCGCCGGCCGCGGGGCTCTGAGCGGCCTGGCGGCGGCAGAGACGGCGGCCGCGCCTAGTGACGAACACCGCCGCTAGGTGGCACGCACAGCTGGCCCGTCCAAGCTGGAATGCCAGGATGGCATTCAGGCATGACATGCTGCTCTGGAGTGGATATAACTGGCTAATCACACATATTGGCTGAAAGATAGGATCAGAAATGATTCGGGTCAAGTACTAATATGATTAAGTGCTATTGTTATTTTGATGGTCTACATGTGAAGTACATCCAACATCTGTTGCCCATGTATATCATGTGACCATCAACCAAATGCAATACCAATACACCAAAAAAACTAGCAGTACTAGATATATATATATACAGCATTGAATACCAAAACTGAGCATTTTTTCTCGAGTCTGACCTGAAGGTGGTGCAAACTTGATCAGTTTCTTTCTAAGGATGTACCACAGCACATACACAGCATAAGATCACTCAAGACTGATCATTTTGAAGTATAGACAGTCACAAGCCTGGTGAAGAAACAGCATAAAGTAAAAGAAAACAAAGTTGCATAGCTAAACAGCATGCAGTTTATCCACACAGCATTTATTCATCTAGCACCCTCATCAACATACCACAATTTCATGGTTCCATTGAATTCAGGAACATATAGTACTTGTGTGTTCAGGAGCTGAAGGCACTCAAGACTGGGACTGGGGTGAAAGCCCATACAATTCAGCAAAAATTGGCTCTGAATCAACAGAAGTGCATGGGAAGGCAAATCCAAACGTATGAGGATTCCAAGGCTCAATGAGTAATACTTGCCTTTTAGATGTGGATAAACTACAGTGCTCATAGTTCTTTTTGTCGTCAGAAATCCAGCAACAGTTTTCACCTCTCCACATCAGCTTACACTGCAATATATACTCATGCAGTTACTTGCTATAAGCAAGCTGAGATGTTCAATAAACTAGCCGCCTGCGCCATTAACATCATATCGGGGCCAGCCGGTCGTTTTGGCCGTAAGAAACCGGCAAGAACCTGTGCCAGACAGCCCCATGCACCCTGGCTGCAATGTTCAGCTTGCCTTGCCTGTGCCAGGCATCGGATGGTAAATTAACTCTGTACTTACTATATTGTTGCAGAAGCGATTCACAAACCGCAGCTTGGATGGACCGGCAATGTTTACATCCGAACCCACCCGAGCGCGACCCGATCAACAAACATTCCCGGCACATTTCCTGAAGATGATGACAACACCGAATGTGGCGCAGCAGAAAGCATCGTGTCAGCTGATTTATGACGTTTTCAAAGATGTGTTTCATCTCTCGTCCGTGTGATGTTTGAGGCGCACCGATGTCAGTCATATCGCTAAGTGCTCTGAAGTGTTTTCATAGTGCGCACGGACGCATTTTGATACAGTTTCTAAGTTCATTGAGATGCCTTTCTTATGATGTAACTGTAACATGAGGTTGACACCTGTTCGGAAAGGATTGAAAAGATACGGAAAATCATGTGCTGAGTCCGACCACCCACGATTTCGCTAGTTATGCATCTTTCTGCACACACGCGATAACAGGACGTGACGCACTTATGATGTTCATATTTCGCATTTACCATACCAGTGTTTAATATACCTTATTGCTCATAGGTTTTGGTGACGGGCAAAACGTTGCGAAAGCCGAGGTGCTCCCTAGACCCGGCCAAAATTCAATGAGGCTATTGTTTACGATCTAATCTATAAATCTTGTGCTCTGTGCGAGGCCTATCCCTGGTCATCCCCAGTTTCTGGTCAACCATTCCCGAACGGATTAGTAAAGCACCGGACAACGCAAAAAGTGGTTGAATTTCATTGCACTTCCTCTCTCGGTCCGTGGAATTATAAATGCAGTAAGGGGCGTAGACTGGGTAGACCGCACGCTTTAGCACACCAGTATGCTGACGAGAACGTTGCTATGTCAGAACAGATCAAGCGCCTGTGAAACATGCTCTGGTTGTAGCTACTTGTTGACTAACATACTGACTGCGACCAGTTTCTTCCTGTCCTTGCCTGCGCTTCTGCAAACGCCCGACGCTGGCATTCCCGAGACCCCCGTCGCTGCTCATTCACGGGCATTATGACGTCAGGAGAACATTGAGAGCCTCATGCGATGCAAAGCAACATTGATAGTTCAGAATCCTGTGTAACTACGCAGCACACACAACTTCTCGGTCGAGCAGCGCCATAGCAGCTTAGTGTGCGTTTAACGCGCGCCACCTCACGAAGAGCGTCCGGAAGTCACGGGCACCCTGATGCGCAGATGCCATTAGTTCTACAGCATCACCATTTATTGCCGGCACCGTGCGATACGCGACACGTGAAGAAGACGCTCAAGGCACAAGTATATAAATACAACGCACGCACAAATAATTTAAGAACAAAACAATGTCCAAGCGTTTGCCAAAGTGGCAGTAAATATATTCGTTGATGAAACATTCGTTGACGACACAAAGAGATTCTAGTTGCGTTTGATTAGGGTGCCGTGCACGCATCTTAGGCACAATATAGCCATCACCGTAGCCCTTTAAATCATCATCAGGGACGATACCTGCAGCCATCACACGTCAACACGCCATTCTTTGTCCAGAGAAATTTGGTACGTCGGAGATTCCGCCACATGTTGCTCAAGCAGCCTTTGTAATCCAGATTGGTGATTCCAAGGGTGTGTGGGGTGTGCGACGAAAACCACCTTCCCCACTGCCCGTGACCACCACCTCGCCACGACCCAGGACTCAGCCCGTGTCACATCAGCCAGCCGACGATGGCCGAACATCGGGCGGAGGGTGCCGTCTTCGTGTCCCGCCGGTGTGGGCAGGCCTGAGGCCACGGCCGGTGCGGGCGGCGCTGTGACCGGCCCGCGAGCGGACCGGTCGCGCCGCCTCCTCCAGCCACGCCTTTCTCCGCCCGTGCGCCAACCGCCACTGCCCGGCCCGGCCCGGCCCGGCCCGGCCGGCGGCGCGCGCCCAGCGGTCAGTGGACGTCGTCGCCGGCCGTCAGGTGGGTGTCCTGCAGCGGCCGACCCCTGGTCTCGATGGGCAGCAGCAGGCAGGCGACGCAGGCGGCCAGCGCCACAATACCGTACACCACCACGCTGGCGAACGGCGACCGGTAGATCAGCACCTGTCGGAGCGGCAGAGCGACAGATCAGCACCTGTCGGAGCGGCAGAGCGGTAGATCAGCACCTGCTGTAGCGGCGGAGCAGCGAATCAGCGCCTGCTGGAGTGGCGGATCAGCGGATCAGCACCTGCTGGAGAGGCAGAACGGCAGATCAGCACCAGCTGGGGCGGCAGAGCGACATATCAGCACCTGCTGGAGCGGCAGAGCGACAGATCAGCACCTGCTGGAGCGGCAAAGCAGCAGATCAGGCCTGTTGGAGAGGCAGACAGGTAGATCAACACCTGCTAAAAGAAAGAGAAGAGCCGACATGTACCTGACGCACCGTATTACCCACACATCACATATCAGATGGAGAAAGCCCATGTCTGATGAGGAGTGCAAAACGTAGCAGTTATAGGAAGCTGCGATTCGAAAGAATAGGTGCAAAGTCTGATAAACAGATAACAAGAATGACAGCCAGACGGAACCGAGTGATCCGACCCAGCCAGGACTAGGAGAGACAGCAGGCGGAAGGAGGGCAAGCATGAGCACCGAAGACAGCTGAGGCGTCGGCAAGAGGAGTGCTTCACTCGCCGGGAGTGTGTCGGCCGGACCGAGTGTGCGGGGCGGCGGCAGGACTGGGCGGGGAGGAAGGAGCGGCGGTGACGTCACGCCGGAGGATCCGCGGTGACGTCACGCCATGGGCCGGCCGCTCGTCTCCGTGCGCAGGCGGAGCGCCGCGGCGGCGCTCAGCAGCGCCACGCAGCCGTACACCAGCGCCACGTACCGCACCGAGGTCCGCACCACCACCTGGCGGGCCCGCGTCAGCACACTGACACCAACACCAGCACCTCGACCTCGCCTCCCGCTCCTCCCCCGGCATCAGCGAGGGTCCCTGACGCACAACCCGACCGCGGGACCGCAGCGCGGTCCGCATACAGCGAAGGCAACCAGACATCGTGCCTGGCCTGGCTAGCAGCGCGCTTGTGACGGGTCGGACTCGGACCAGACACAGCCTCCTGCGACACTCGCCGGACAGATGCCCATCCCAGCATTCGTGACCAACAAACAGCAGCACAGTTCATCGCGCACAACGGCGCGACCTCTCGGCTGGGGCCCGTCCCGCACGGGTTCATGACGTCGGGCGACGAGCGCCGTGATCCTTCCGCCGACCGAAGCCGCGCCGGCGAAACATCAGTCACACACCCGGTCTTCAACACCCCGACACGTGCGCCGTGATGGGCGCCTGCTCCAGTCGCCTGTCTCTCCCCACACCATACACTGGCTAGCCGCGGTGCCGGTGCTGCGGCGCCGGCTGGAGCGCGGCCAGGCGGGCGGAAGAGTGGGCCGGGCCCGGCCGACCCACCTTACCTGAGCGATGAGCGGGGTCACCATGGCGCCGAGCCGCGCGAACCCGCTGCAGGCCCCTACGCCGACCGCGCGCAGGGTGGTCGGGTACACCTGCGGCCGACGGCGGCGGGCGGTGAGGCGGCGGGGAGAGACACACCACAGACACCGGCCGCGTGCCGACAGGCAGTAAGGCCGCCCACAGCACCACAGGCGCCGACGGCGGCGGGCGGTGAGGCGGTGACGTGGGACCACCCCAGACACCGGCTGCGCGCCAACAGTGAGTGCAGTCACCCACTGCATCACAGACTATCACCGCATGGCTGTGTAGCACTGCAAAAGCATGCACTTCAAAGGTGACGCCTGTCCGCCGCTTGTCCAGCCACGTCTGCGGTAATGGACCTCCCCATGGCCCATCGTGACGCCTCACCGCTTGTCGTCAGATATCGGTCCAATATTGCGGAACGCGGCAGTGTAACGCAAACCAGAATAACACGAGGCCGTTGCGTCGCTGCCTACGCGGTCCAGCATGCCCCATTAACTATATTCGCGTGAAGACTGTGACATGAAGCGTAAGGGTTATGTTTAGTAGAATTTTCAACGCATCTTGTACGTGCAACGCAAGATCTGTTTTGCGGCATTGGTAACATGACGATGGAGAGACCTGCACAAGGGATGTCTAATGGCGGTGTCGCATCTAACAGCATGCGTACGCGACTTTCCCCATCTCCTTCAATGAAATAACCATAGTTCAGCCAGACGTTCAAGATCCTCATTCTCAGCCTTGAGCTCACGCAGACTACCAAACGACACGCTGCGACGGACGGGTGCTGCGAGGGGCATGCTCGTCACCGCAGCGCAGCGCGTGTTATTCGGTCTCCGGCGAGCACCCACCTCGGGAGTGTAGACATAGGCTGCTTGAAACATGCCGGCGATAATGCCCCGGCAGACGAACAGGGTCACCGTCAGCACGGCTCGGCTGGAAAACATTACAGTCACCATCAGCGCGGCTCGGCTGGAAAAGTCACCATCAGCGCGGCTTGGCTGGAAAACAGTCACCGTCAGCACGGCTCGGCTGGAAAACAGCTACCGTCGGCACGGCTCAGCTTGTCACCTCATCTTCATGTCACAGCTCATCGTCACCGTCAGCGTGACTCGGCTAGAAAACAGTCGGTTGATTGCGGACCGTATCAGCATGACAAACATCAGGTCAGCCGGCCGTGCCCAGCCACAAGCCGATCACCACTCACTTATTTGGACCGGAAACAACATCCTTGACAAGCCATCACAAACTTGAGAAAAAACAGTGTGTCGGATGTGTTATAATTGTACTTGTACTTTGCCTCCCCAGGATTTAACGGCTTCTGCTGCTGGATATTTCCTGCACTTGTTCGCGGCCCATCACCACCACGACCACCACCACCATCACCACCATGATGGCCAGCACTGTCAGCGCCAAGCCGGCCGCCAGACGCCGGCTGCCGTGGCCCTCGGAGGATCGCGGCAACGCAACTCACCTCTTCACGCAAAAGAACAGCGTGAAAATGGTCAGCGTGTAAATGAGGAACTCGGTGGCCATTGTCTTCTTGCGGCCGAACCTCTCGATGATCAGGATGGTGAAGAATATCCCTAACGGCAGGGAGCGAGTGTCATTCGGGCTTTACGACGCACTCAGCTGCTGAGGCCACACCACGTCGCCTGCTTCTCAACCTGGCCAGAAGGGCGGACACCGCAAGGAATCGAGACCCGTGCCTCTGGTTTCTCAGACGCACAGCTTAACCACTACACTACCGGCACCACCGGAGAGGGGGGGGGGGGAAGGGGAGAAGAGGAGGGGGCAGCAAGTAAGACTGCCGGCCTTTACACCGCCACGCCACTCGAATCCGCCCAGCGACAGCCACCCTCTGCCATCGTTCCTCCCGTGACAACATCGGCTGTTTTGAAGCTCACTCCGCAGAAGCCAACAACAGTGCGACAATACGCGTTGTGTCCTCGGCGCGAGCGGAACGGGAACGGGAACGGGAACGGAAACGATAACGGCAAAGGCAACGGCAACGGGTACGGGAACGGGAACGGATACGGGTAGGGTACGGGAACGGGCACGGGAACTGGAACGGGAACGGGAACGGGAACGGGAACGGGAACGGGAACGGGAACGGGAACGGGATCCTCCCGGCCGTCACCTGGGAACTCGGCGAGCGTCGTCCAGAGCAGATCGATGTAGTCCTCCTGCTGCAGTGTCTTGCACGACGCCTGGCACACCTGGCGACAGCAGGCGGGCGACGGCTGAGAAAACGTCCCAGAACGCACACAGCAGACGAGCGACGGCTGAGAACATGTCCCAGGACGCACGCAGCAGGCGAGCGATCGCTGAGAACATGTCCCAGGACGCACACAGCAGGCGAGCGATCGCTGAGAACATGTCCCAGGACGCACGCAGCAGGCGAGCGATCGCTGAGAACATGTCCCAGGACGCACACGGCAGACGAGCGACGGCTGAGAACATGTCCCAGGACGCACGCAGCAGGCGAGCGATCGCTGAGAACATGTCCCAGGACGCACGCAGCAGGCGAGCGACGGCTGAGAACATGTCCCAGGACGCACACAGTAGGCGAGCGACGGTTGAAAACATGTCCCACGACGTACACAGCCTGCGAGCGACGGCTGAGGACATGCCCCCAGGACTCACACAGCAGACGAGTGACGGCTGAGAACATGTTCCAAGGAACCCACGACGACGAGAGGGGCGGAACTGAAGCTTCGCGACGATAAGCGGCACCAGAATGACAACGCCGCCTCCGGCGGCACCGGCAGACTGCGCTGCGGGCTGATGAACGCACCTCGGCGCCCTCCCAGCCCTGCGGAGCGCTGCACAGGTCCTCCTCGGAGAGTTCGAACAGCTCGGTGGTCATCAGCACGATGCCGTAGTAGCAGAAGGCGCTGGCCCACCTGGCGGACAGACGGGCATCGCAGTCAGGCGAGAGACTCCGGCCCTGCTGTCACGAGCCAGCCGCCGCCGGCTCCGGGACCACTCCGCGGTCATGGCTCTGCCCGCGCCAGCGCCACAGCAGCGGCCGCAGCGGTGACGTTCTGTGGGAGCATGACCGCCGCCGGCTCCGGGACCATTCCGCGGTCATGGCTCTGCCCGCGCCGGCGCCACAACAGCGGCCGCAGCGGTGACGTTCTGTGGGAGCATGACCGCCGCCGGCTCCGGGACCACTCCGCGGTCATGGCTCTGCCCGCGCCGGAGCCACAGCAGCGGCCGCCGCGGTGACGTTCTGTGGGAACATGACCGCCGCCTGCACCGGCAGGGTGCCACTACTAACCATCTTAACTCTCGGGTGGTGGTGCTACTAACTACATGCCCGCGGGTGAACGGACACCAGGGTGCTGGACATAGAGCTGTTTTTCATTGTGTTCCGCGGGCTATCACGCTGGTGACATGACGCTGTGCGGCTGTGCGATGTAGGCCGGTAGCCAATTAGGCGTCTCGTAAACTGCCTTCCGATCACCAAACTGCGTGATTTCGGTAGCGGAGCAGGCAAATAGGCGATTTGAAGCTACCCCTACCTTCAAATTGGTCCAAACACAGTTGAGTGGTGGCAGCACAGAGCACACGAACCAGTCACACAAAGCACACGAACCAGTGCAGTCAGTTTGTGACGGTGCTCAACATACGCATCACAACAGGGAGGTGGTATGATGAACTGACTGCGTGAACCGAAATAGCCTGGCAATGACAGCACCGCCAAACGAGCCAGGACAACCGTGTGCTGGAAGAAGTGGTCATATGCACCAGGGCAGCCAGGTGGCATATTCGCCATATGAACCGGAGTACCAGGATGGTGGCAGCATGCTGACGATATGAATCAAAGCAGCAGGGTGGCCGTGTATAGTGGCTGTGTACTGACCATATGAACCCGAGCAGCAGGGTAGTGGTGCACAGCAGCTGTATACTGACCATATGAACCAGAGCAGCAGGATGGCAGTGCAGCATGGCTGCATACTGACCAAATGACCCAGGACAGTAGGGTGGCTGTGCAGCATGGCTGTATACTGACCATATGAACCAGGGCGGCAGGGTGGCAGTGCAGCGAGGCTGCATACTGACCATATGAACCAGAGCAGCAGGGTGGTGCTGCGCAGCTCTGGCACCAGCAGGTCGCGGATCTCGCCGCGCCGCACCGTGCTGACGTCGTCGACGGTGAGCCGGCCCAGCAGCATGGGCCGGCCGTTCTCGTCGGCCAGCTGCTTCAGTGTACTCAGCGCCCGCTCCGACTGCCCGCTGGCCGCGTGGAAGCGGGCGCTCTCCGGCAGCCACTGGCCGGGCAGTAGACACACACTCGGTCAGGTCACCCGCGGAGAAGGGCCGGCACGGTCGGCGCTCGGGTCAGTGGCTGGGTCGGGGTCTGTGTTGGGTCATGAGGACACATACGAACTGCCAGCCCGGTCTGAACGCCGCCGTTAGCCAAACCTCTTTGGCCACCTGGTGTGAGCAGTCATACCCCGGACGGATTGGTCCTTGTTGTCCCCTCACAGACTTCGATTGCGATGGCGTAAAACGACGCGTGCAACGAATGACTGTAAATGATTACCAATAACCTCGAGAAGTAAATCTAAACAACAGATGTTTCAAGATAATAACAAAAAAACTGAAGAAGCCACACTAGCCTTCAACGACTCTTTCAACTTTTAACACTACGCAACCAAGCATTCCGGGAGCCCAGTCCGCCGGCAGCAGCGGGCCGTCAGCGCTGCGGACTGACTCCTGGAGCCCAGTCCATGCCAGCGGCCTGCCCGACAGCGGCCGCCGACGGCAGCGGGCCGTCAGCGCGGCGGACTAACTCCTGGGGCCCAGTCCATGCCAGCGGCCTGCCCGAGAGCGGCCGCCGACGGCAGCGGGCTGTCAGCGCGGCGGACTGACCGGGCAGATGAGCGTGAAGAGCAGCAACGGCAGCGAGGAGAGGCCCAGCAGCCACTTCCAGCCGAGCGTGGGCATCACGAACAGCGCCAGCAGCACCTCCAGACAGGCGCCCAGCGCCCAGAAACACTGCCGGCCGCGCGATACCGCCCCGTCACAGGTCGAACGAGCCACGGCTTCGCGACGCCACACAAACCAGACAGACGCTGTGGAGGACAGTGTCTCAGACACCCCTGACGCTACGTGTATCTTAAAAAGTGCACTGTCCCAAAACCGCACTGTCATAACATCGCAAAAACAAATATGTAAAACTAAATAAACAAAATCTGAGGTGCCATTCCAAAAAATCCTTACGCGACGTGAAATCCGACGCCATAATTACAGCGCCAAATTTTGACTTTACTAGTGACAAGTATATGTTGATCACACAATAGTACCTGCAGTTTAACAACAGGTTATTATCCTCACCTCCAATAAAATAACGCACTTTCCTCTTTGCTTCACAGGCAAAAACTCTGCATACAAGGTGACGCTGAAAAATCGAGGGGCAAAAAATAATACATAGGGCCACGCATAAAAGGATATGCCACATGCTGTGTAACCCATAAAATGCATTGCTCGAAGCAGGTACATGTTCTCTTTTACATGCATGCCAAAACAATCTGCAGTAAGGCACACTGCTAATCAAACCCACAGGCCATTCCACAACCATACAACACCCAAATAAATAACGTGATCAGTGCAGAGCCGAACTAAGGCCGACATGGTCCCGGCGCGGTCCGGTCCGCCCCGGAGGAGGGAGGCGGGGCGGGGCGCCGCCGCGGCGGGCGCACTCACGCCTGGGGGATGGCGCCCACGCAGAAGCCAACCAGACCGCGCAGCAGCAGCAGCCAGACGTATGTGGGCGCGAACGACGAGAGGAAGCCGTAGAAGAAGAGGAACGAGCCAGACATGACCAGCGTCTGGCGGCGGCGGCGCAGGCGTCAAACCGCCGGCGCACACTGGCGCATCACGCCAGCGGCCATAGGCAACGGCAGTCAGCACAGCACCATACATCGGCCACACCACACCACCGCTGCCTGCCGACAGCAACGCCAAAATTACGGGACACCCGCCGAGTCTGGCCAACATAAGCCTCAGGGCATGAAGTGGCATATCCCCAGTTCCAGCTCTGCAAACACGGTACACTCAGCGGGAACGCGCGCAAACCAGTCAAAACATTATAAATGGCTCATTGGATCGTCCTTAAGCTTACAAACTCACGTCAACGTGAAAAGTACAAAATCTGCAGTCTTGAAAGATGCCGTTCATCTATAATTTCTAAGATAATTCGGTCATGATTGAGGGCGCAAAGGTACAAGCTTGCGCCAATGCTCGTAACTTAGCTGCACTTGGTATAGAAATGGAGCTAAAAGTGTCTGAGCTCGTAATGCCAAAATTGAAAATTGACCTCGTGTTCAACTTATCGATAGGCGGCACAACTAACATGACTCATTTACTGATTCTGGATGGTGGCGTTAAAATCAATCGCCACTGAGAACAAAATGATGGCTTCAATGATATATGATACCCCAATGAACATAGGGATGCAAAAGAGAAGGCTCATGATTCATTCCCAATAAATGGACATAACAATATTCCAAACCATAGTAATTATGTGGTGCAATATCGATTCCTAGCACCGGCCTCCAACCCTAAAGCCGCTACGATTGCAGCCAATGCCTGCCCAGGAGCTGCACTCACCGTCTTCCGGCCGTACTTGTCGCTGAACTTGCCCCAGAAGGGCGAGCTGAGCATCATGCCCAGGAACACGATGGTGGTGATGAAGGCCTGTTTCCACTCGGAGATGTGCCAGGAGCACTGCACCGCCGGTGACAGCATGGAGAGGATCATCATCTCCATGCTGTCGGCCATCCAACACAGGCCCGTGATGAGCGACAGGCGGATCTGGAAGCGGCCGAAGCCGATGGCGTTCACCGCCTGGTCCACGGTGAACGTGTCTGCCGGCGACACGGCGGCACAGGTCAGGCCGAGGTCGGGCAGGGCCACGTCCCAGACGCTCCGGACCACAGCCCAGGCGTGGATGTGGCGGCCCAGCAGCCATAAGCTCGCCCACCACGACACCTGAGATGTTCGCAAGGGTTCCGTACACAGCGTCTGACGGCAGGGCAGCTGGTCACAGGACGGAACGCCGTCAGAGCTGGATTGGGAGTTGTCCGATCAGGATCAGAAGACGGAACGCCGTCAGAGCTGGATTGAGAGTTGTCCGATCACGATCCGAAGACGGAACGCCGTCAGAGCTGGATTGGGAGTTGTTCGATCAGGATCAGAAGATGTCACGATGCGCACTGCACGGATACAACTAATGTCACAGAGCGCATGCACCACATCTCTCAAGGTGCAAGCTATCCCAGAACCCCATACACTGTTACACCTGTTCCGCTCCTCACCGGTCGGCGGCGGTTGCGGTGGCACGCCTTGGTCTTCTCTTTCACTGTCCCCCGCCCCTCGGTACAAGACAACGACCGAACCGCTGACCTTCCGTGGCCAGCCGTACCGCGGCACCTAAGTGCGGCCACAACACCTGCACAAGTGAACTCCGTGGTCTGCAGCCCCGCGCCGGAACGGCCCCAGTCGGTGGCGGCAGCACTCACCGTCCGGCACCACGCCGGCGGTGGAGGCCGTCATCTCGAGCTGGTCGCCCGGGTCGCGCACGTCCGCCACCTGGCTGAGCAGGGAGCCGGGCGGGCCGCTGCCGGCCAGCGCCGACAGGTCCTCATACTGCGCAGAGTCGCTGGAGCGTGAGCGCGGCATAGTGCGGCGGCGGTCGACGCTGGGGCTACATCACACCGACGACACCTGGCGGAAGGCAGTGGTGGAGCCCTGACAATGTGATGGTATTTGGCCACTTGGGTGATGCAGATGCTGATATTTTTCATCCTGTTCATGCCATCAAGTGGGGTTCACTGCCTGTGTCCCCCCCCCCCCTTTGCTCAGCATTGGCCAAACAAAAATGAGCAGGTCAGTGGTCAACCCAGTCTATAAGTGCTTCAGGCTTGGCAAATCAGGCAGGCAGGGGCAAAGGTGGCTGAGGGGTCTGAGGTCTGGTAGCATTAATTTATACTTCCACTCCTTAACACCCAACTGAGTGACTTTTAAGGCACTGGGTCTGCATCACACTGGCATCACCTGATGAGTCAGATTAGTGAAGGGCAGTGGGGCCTACATCATAGCAGCACCATCTCATGGGAGGGGGTGGTGGACAATAATGAATGGTGATTAGTGGTGCCACATCACATCACCATTGGCTGGGAGGGTGGCTGATGGCCACAGGTGTCTGGAATTCAGTACAGCTGGCCCCAACTGTTGTGACCTGGCTCTTCCCATGGAAGCGAGGCAATGGAACATGTGATGACAGCATTGATCCAAGCAAAGAAGATCTTTGATATTTATGTTTTCTGTAAAGACATCATTGTTCCTTGTTATGGATTTGTGAGATTGGTTGTGAATCAAGGCTACACTCAATGATTTTAGATACTGAGCAGAAATATGATTAATGAAATATGAAATCTTAAGCAATGCCTCTGCTGCTATGACTATAAATTTCTTTGCTCCTTTAGATGGGACACTTAAAAAAGAGGGGCTCAGCTTTTTGAGGGAAAATTGGGAAGATTTTGATGACACATTGCAGAACCATAACAAGGGAGAGAGAAGAAGATTTTTAGCAGCATCATGTAGCACTCCAGTATAGTTTCAAATTGTGCTAAAATCTTAATGAATCCAAACATTAAAGCTGATTAACATGGCCTTTCTGTAATGGCAAGGAATGCACCTCTGATTTCTTTTGCATTTCTTGCTAAATCATGTCAAATGGATTTTGCACTGATGTGAGATATTTTCAACACAATGTAACCACCCCAGAAAGAGGTCACCTAGAAAAGATTATGCACAGAATAAAAGTCAAGTGAAGGTTAACATATTCCCACAAATATGTGTTATATTTGAACCAGACATCACCTGCTTCACCATGCAATCAAATTTAAAGGGTCTAGCCCTAGCATTTTTAAAAAAGACTAGAACACCCAGTAGGTCACAGATGCTGTTTACCAAAAAACTCCAATCACAATATGTGTATCATCCCAAAACTGTTAACATAATTTATGGACAGCCCCTCAGATCAAGTTCAAATCATCCCTAATTAGAATAGCTAGATTTCTTACCACCCTGCCTGAACACAGCAATATTAAAAATGACAAATTATGTGACCTTTAAGCACCTGGGAATATCTACTACATCAAGCTAGGCCCTTACTTAAGTAAAACTAATCAATTCAAACTTATTTCATAGCTTCTGTTGATGGAGCCAAATCTGTATGACACTTAACATGCCTTAAGATGAGCTACACATTAAAGCAGACAAAATTCAGAAACCCTCAGCAGGTCTCAAAATGAACATATTTCATGTTCACCTCACTAGCGCTGTTACACCCCTAATGATCTAATGATTTAACTCATAACCAAAACAGAAAATCAACAAATGAGGCAGCATTTCATGCCTTCTACCATTATATCTCTATCTGTAAGTCAGCAACATTGCGAAATGAGCTAGAGCAAAACATCAACTTGTACATGTGCGGACGGCGATCACATATTGACACGAAACCACACAATGCCGGCAGGAAATCAACGCCCCAAACCTTTTCCATAATCCTCTGATTTGGAGCCAATTATCCACGTTTTGACAAAGATTTCCACCACCAATATCCAGCAGCACTCAAGCACCAGACGACGCAGAAATAGCTGTTGGAAAATGACAAATTTACCCGCTTCACCCACTTCTAAATTTAGGACACCTATCTACACAGACTCCAACCAAAACATTACATTCATCAAGGTCGCGTCTATTCCATTCATTAGATAAACAACAGGACAATTAGTATGTGGTTTCGGCAGCCAATTTTGGTTGTTTTAGACATTTTTAGTGACATTTAGCCACGTAACAGATCATCATGTTTTCAAAAAATATAATATGGACTATAGCACATCGATTGGTGCAGGTTTTGTAGTGATCCGTCTCATAGGCTGCACCATATGGGTGCCTGCAAACTGATATTTGTATTTTGGTCCTTTTATTTATTTCTAACGTTACAAAAGACCACAACATACCAGAAACTTCTAGAAATTAATTAAGTAGCATCGAATGGTGCACATTTTGTGTCTATCAGTTGCGTCGAGTCGAAGATTGAGATTATCAAAAGATGCTGTCGATTGTTTAGCTCCTTTTACAATTACTGCGCATATGATACATCAAAAACCGCGAAACCACCGCTCTCACTGACACCATACGCAGGACTCATTGCACCCGAGGAGTCTGGAGGGAGGGTCAGTGGGGATGCACATTTGTTGAAGCATATTGAATACGCGTTGTGTGGTGTTGAAGTAAATGCGTATATATATATATATATATAAATATATACGCATATACATATTGCTGCGGCTTCATTTGCTCGCTATAGTCTGGCTGGGTAAACATAAGCCAGATTAACTTAGGCCGCAATCAGTTCACGATCAGTTCATGTACTTTTTTGGCACTTTGACATTTCATAATTATTTTTCTAATAATATGCCAGTTAGCCTTTCAGTAATTTTGCATGTCAGCTTTTGACTTACCACTATGTTGTGGATTGCTGTTTGGCTGTCCACCATTTTGGCTTGTCAGCCTTTTACATTTCACATTTCTGCAGTTCGTGATTTAGCTGATTTGACTTCTTGGTATGCTATTGTTATTCTTGGTGCAATTGCACAGCTGCCATCTAGCACTAAAAGTTAGCTAGTTCACCAAATGGACCTTTGTACTTTTTGTTCTAGAGCTGTTTAAGACATGCTTCTTGGCTTGCGAGCATTGATGTGAGATGTCCAAGGCGGGCTGACCTCTGCTACACCATGTATCATGGTGTAGTAAAGATGTCCAGGGTTTTTGTGAGTTAACAGCATGCTGTTGTGAGATTATCATCTGACCCAACAACCAATTGCAGATTTGAACTAATATGGAGGGCCAGGGAAGTGCCAAGAAATTCAAAAAAGACAATGATGCTGAAACCATCATAGCTACTGGAGACATCCATCAGGGTTTAGAAGACCTTGGCAAGTTCACATGTTCCCAAGTATTGAAGGATGACCCAACCAAGAAAATGTTAGCATTAAGAGCTGATGTAAAAGGCAGTGTCAATCCAGCAGTTGTAATTTTTGAGAAAACAGCATTTTCTGAAGGAAGTGCAAAAGAGATTTTGAGTTCAGCAACAGCTTTGAAGAAGACCTTCCACAATGACATATATGGCAACTATACAGGATTTCCCAAGCCTGAACTTAATGGTGAGTTGGCTGGCAGTGAACATATGGTGTGTAACCCAATCATGGGGAGATGTTGGCTGCCAACAAATCCATGCCGAGTTTTGTTATACTTGGCTGCTGTGTCACATTATAAAAAATGATTGATGTTTGTTCATTGGAAGGGGTCTTCCAATGGAATACTATGAAACTCTACTTTTGTTTACTGCTGCCAAAGTGATGCACATATATGGTCAAGGTTTTGTGGTCACTGGTGAGCACTGACCTGTTTGTGCTGACTTGACTTTCCTCATGTACTGAACCACAGCCATTGAGGGCAGACCTGAGCTGGGTCACAGCTGGTGGGGCAGACATGAACCAGACCACAGCTGGTAGGAGCAGACTTAAGTGGGACCACAGCCAGTGAGAGCAGACCTGAGCTGAATCACAGCTGGTGGGGCAGACATGAACCAGATCACAGCTGGTGGGGCAGACCTGAGCTGGATCATAGCCAGTAGGGCAGACCTGAGCTGGATCACAGCTGATGGGGGCAGACCTGAGCTGGATCACAGCTGGTGAGGCAGACCTGATCCAGATCACAGCTGGTAGGGCAGACCTGATCCGGATCACAGCTGGTGGGGCAGACATGAGCCTTGGCACAGCCGGTGGGGGCAGACCTGAGCCGGACCGGCCCGGCGACAAGTGCCGGCTCAGCTCGTGTGTTGTGGTCAGGCGCTGCCGGGCCAACAGGCTGTGAAGACGCCAACTCACTCTATGCCTGAGACACCTGACTAGACTTGTCGTGATTATTTCCGCGCCACGACTGAGGGCGGCGTGGATGGACGAGTGGCATGACGTTAGACTCAGTGACACCCAGTGTAGTGGCTGTGTGTGTTTTTGTGACAGTAATCCTGTTTTCTGCAATTGTATGACATTTTTCTGGCAGGCCTAAAAGTGACTGTGATACATCCAGCTACAGACAAGCACATTGACAAGTACACTGCTCAAGAATCAATTTTGGTGAACGAAACACCGAAACTTTACTCAGAAGTTCTCCTGGAACATCTCAAAGAATCTTCCATGAATATTCAGGTTGGAAATGAGTGGTAATTCAAATTGCGTGGTGCTGAATTGGTTTTAGGAATGACTAAAAGCTGTTGATAATGAGACTACTATGTGCAATGCCAATCCATCCCCTTTGATATGTGAGAAGCAAGTAGAGTCAAAAGTATGCTGCCAACTTCAAGACCATCAGTATCATCAGCTCGCCATCAGTAGCTCGCATTTTGTATTGCACCTGCTCCCCTGCATATATTTCTGCATGACGACATGGAACCGAAATGAGAGCACTTACAAAATCCCAGGTTGAAATGTAATGTCACCATGCTGTCATAACACTGCATCTTATTCTGTTCGTGTTCAAATCGAACGCCTTCGAGTGTGTTCCTCGTGACCGTTGAGAGTAAATTAATGTTGCTTGCATCCTCGTTGTCTCCAGCTGACATTAAAATGACCAGCCGTATCATCATCCGGGCCCCCTGCGGCTGACCTGCGGCCGCGGCTCCCCAGCTGTCACTGTAGTGCCCAGCAGTGTCATCATCCGGGCCCCCCGCGGCTGACATGCAGCCTCGGCTCCCCAGCTGTCACTGTAGTGCCCAACAGTGCCATCATCCGGGTCCCCTGCGGCTGACCTGCGGCCGCGGCTCCCTAGCTGTCACTGTAGTATCCAGCAGTGTCATCAGCCGGGCCCGCGCGGTTGACCCGCGGCCGTGGCTCTCCAGTCGGCGGTATAGTGTCCAGTAGTGTTGTCAGCCGGACTCCGCGCGGCTGACCTGCGGCCGCGGCTCATGTCGCCGTCTCTCGGCCGGCCGCAGTGGGTCTACAACATCCTGGAGCACCGCAGCGAGGCGGGGCGGATCGTCTGCGAGGACACCGCCCCGGAGACGGGCTTCGTCCTGCTGCCGGACCTTAAGTGGGACGGCCGCACGCTGGAGACCCTGTACCTGGTGGCGATCGTGCGCCGGCGGGACCTGCGATCCCTCCGAGACCTGCGGGCCGAGCACCTGCCGCTGCTGAGGAACATCTGGACCAAGGGCACGGTCAGTAGCACCCTGCCGGGACCGGTGCCCGGCGGCGCGCACACTTGGTAATGACCCGTGCTCTGTGATGAAGGTGCCGTGCTGTGAGCTGCATAGCTGTGAAGGGCACTCTGTCTTGCAGGCCATGTCACGTACTATGCAGGGTGGATGTGGGTCAATGGCGGCGTTCCAGACGCGTGTTGACGGGTGGTTTGCTCGGTAGTCGTGGTCTCTGGCTCTGAAAAGCACGCCTCTGGCGTTCTTTGCCGTGGTTGGCTGTGTTGTGTCGGAGCTGGCGCTCCTGTGCCAAATGATACACTATCCCTTTCATCCATCTTGCTTGTTTTTCTGGTGAAAATCCTGCATAGGACCGTGCGGCGGTGACAGGTCCCAAATATACCGCCAGTTGCAATCAAATGACGCCCAGAGAAATAAGAGCATTACTGCTTTTTGCCGACTTTGATGGGGTTCTCCCCCCCCCCCCCCTCCCTCCACATCTACTCTTGGATCCACTGGGTCTGGTATCGGATTGGGGCTTGCTTAAAAAAAGCTAAGCTGTGTTGGAGCATACCATGTCCCCAGTCTAAAGGGCTGGCCTGATGCATAAATGCCGCTCTTCGTCGTCGCCACTGTCGAATTATGAGATACAGCACAAATACCTATTACAAAATGTATTCGCATTTTAAGCTATTTCTGACCTGTGTGTGGGTAAAAGCCAGAATTCGCGAACGGTTGGCATTGAATGACATGACGTGATTTTACCCTGCGTCAGCTCGCATGTAATTCCAATTTTAACTAGTTCTTGGTATGAACAGTTAGACTACTGACATGCCAAGGTAGATCAATGTCAGCGATGGTCTGTGAGTCGGAGGCTCGCTATTTTAATGCGGATACCCGTCGGTTACCATCATGGCCTTTTACAAAAGGCCGTGGACATTAATCCGTCTTAAGACTGTATTAGGGCTGACTCAACAAATGCAGACAGGACTTGGTTTCATGCAATGGTGGGCTCTTTATACCTCGTGTATTCGCAGAAAATAATCCTGCGGAATATGTCGCTGTGTTAAGCAAACGTGGGGACAGATCTCAGGGGTGGATCCAAGATCTCTTACGGCTCCGTGTCGTAGATTCTTGGGATTGTGTCTTGGAATCTTTTAGTGGTTCCAAGCACGTGTCGTCAACACTATCCGGGTTGATGCATGCACGCATTTTGCTCGTGTTGTGACAGCCCTGCACAGCACCTACCCCATACGCATTTAAAACTGTCACATACTTTCGTGCAATAGTTTTACGGAAGGATTAGGACGAGGCGGCATCACGGATTTATTGAAGCTGTCGTCCTCATCTACTGGGACGCCAGACGAGAACATAGTCCCAGCAATTATTCCACCTGTGATACTTTCGCACGAATAGTTTGCCCGACCATGCCGCCGTCGCTGTGGGCTGCCGGCCACGGGGAGCGCCGTTTTTGCTCTGTTGGTGGTCAGTGACACGCCGTGCACTGTGTTCGGTGTTTTGTCCGTTTCGTGATGCGATTTGTGCTGCTCCGAATTGGTACATTACCATTTCGAATGACCGGGATGCTCGGTGTGGGTCGTGCCTGCTTCCCTGCGGGCAGCGGGAGTGCTGCTGTTCAGTGCGTGTGCTCTGTATCTGATGGGCCCGTACAGGGCGATGTTACCAGGCTGCGGCTGTTGTTTCAGGAAGCGATTAAGGAGAAATACGGCGTGCCGGCGTGGCAGCTGAGGGTGTACTTCCACTACCAGCCCTCCTACTACCACCTGCACGTGCACTTCACCTCGGTCCGGTTTGACGCGCCAGGTACGCCCAGTCGCCGGTCTCAGCTTAGTTAAAAGGGAGAGTTGCACATTTGTATGGGGTTGTGAAATGAAATAGCCACCTTGAAAATCATTCGGTGTAGTTCACAGGAATGCTCTTTATAACATGTGCCCGGGCGGCCAGCCGAATACCCTTTTGCTTGGTTGGGCGGGGTCAGTTTGCTCCTCTGAAATCTTAAAAATTAAGATAGCTAGACACACCAAATTTACAAAGTAGATTAACCTGTACGTGAACTCACTTTTGTTAAAATTGTAGGCTCTTAGGTCTTGACCTTTGGGTGGTATAATAATATAAATAGATAAGGTGAAACAACTTGAGGCTGGTGTTCGAATTACTCCTGCTCACTCTGATGCTCATTTAAGGTCGTTGATCTTGTTTGACCTTTAGAAGGACACGGTGACCAAACCCGTACAAGACTGCTTGGAGCTTTGCATTTGAGTAAGCGTCGAAGATTACGCTAAGCAGTTTGTTCCGAAAAGCAATATGTTTCCCTGGGTCGTTTCGGGTCAGTGACCAATTGTGACCTTTCAAAAGTTCATGCAAGATGTATAATGCGGTTCCTGTTTCCAGTGAATCCGAAGTGAGCACCAGAAACTACCGCTTACAGCGGGTTCTAAAGTAATAAAAAGGGTGCTTTTGATCTTGGTCTGACCTTCATACCTGACCCTAGGTTAATGGAATTTGTTCAGTTAGTTGTGTCGTATCTTAAGAAGCTATCACAGAGATGTATGGCTTCGTTTAACACTCCTTTGTTGCATGAGATTTAACGATTTCTAGAAATTTTCTTCGCTGAATCTATGACCTGACTTTGATATGCCGTAGGCAAGCAACCTTACAAGATACATCTAAATTTGCAATACCAAAGATCCGCTATTCAATTGTCTACAGCAAAGCAACATTTGGCGCAGCTGCGCCGCGCCGTTTGGAAACCATTCCTGAAAAACCTTGGGGGAGGGTCAAATTGACCCCGCCCACCCGAGCGCGTGTTTTAGGACCTCAAACTCTAGTTTCTGAGCCGCACTCCCTCGCAGATGTGCAGACTATTTCGCGGAGACCTATTTCAAGGTTACCCAGGCATCCACGACACCATAAAAGCGTCATTCAAATCCTGGCATTCCATTATTCATGCGGCAATCAGGGCCAACAAAATATGATCGTCGAGTCGTTTATATGTGGCGTTCGTGAGCACGATTTCCAGACATAACGGCTGCCAATTGGCTTTCAGTCGTTGCTGTGCAAGGTGTGATGACGTAATGATAACGTACGATGTGTTGTCTAGAGCAGTCTTTTCACTTAAAAGCATACCAACAGGTATAAGTGAGCTTACTTCGTCCTGTGTGATGCTTTCATCGATGTCTTCAAATATGGAACTTCCCTTAAATGCATATAGAAAGTGTGATAACGGGGGGGACATGCGTCTAAAGGACCGATTGCATGAATACGCCTATGGGTACCTATAATCACCGCCAGGTGCAGTGCAGGTCGTGGGTGCACACGTGTGCCAGATAAAGCTCGTGAATGCTGTTGCATGCCTCCCACGGCCAGCCGCATCAACGCGTATTGAGTTAGCAAGGGCGGCTGCATTGTCGATTGGTGGGCTGAGCCCGGGCCACCAGCCGGACCGGATCCCGCCGGTGTAGGGGCCGAGTTGAGCAGCTCCTCCGCCGGAGATGTGGTCCGCTCCTCAGTTTTGTCCGCTGTCGAGCCGGATGGAGACGTCTGCCGAAGACGTGGTCCTCTCCTCAGTCTCGTCCGCGGTCGAGCCGGATGGAAACGTCTATCGAAGATGTGGTCCTCTCCTCAGTCTCGTCCGCAGTCGAGCCGGATGGAGACGTCTGCCGAAGATGTGGTCCGCTTCTCAGTCTCGTCCGCGACCGAGCCGGGTGGAAATGTCTGCCGGAGATGTGGTCCGCTCCTCAGTCTCGTCCGCGGTCGAGCCGGATGGAGACATATCCCGAAGATGTGGTCCTCTCCTCAGTCTCGTCCGCGATCGAGCCGGGTGGAGACGTCTGACGCCGCGTGCAGGACATGAGGGTTTGCTGCCGTTCAGACCGGTCCCCGCCGCCTCTCGATCGCCGTGCTGACCGAGGCGCTAACGCCCGCAGGCACGCACGTGGGCAAGGCGCACCTACTGCCGTCCGTGATCAGCAACATCGAGCTGCTGCCCGACTACTACCAGCGCGCTACGCTCTCCTACTTCGTGCGCTGTGGCGACCCGCTGGCCGCACGGTTCGCCCGGGCAGGTGGGTGTGCCCGCGCCGGTTCGTCGGCCCGCTCTCTCGTGCGGTGGGTGGCTTGTGAGCCGCCGACCCGTCGGGCCAGGCGCCCCTCTGCTCCTGACTCGAGGCATTCGCTGACCCGTCCCGTGTGTGGTGCGTGGGTGGGCGAGCGCTGGGCGGGGTTCCGTCTGCAGCCTGCGCTCAGCGGGCCCGGCCCAGCTCCTATGCGGCCCCACGGGGGCGGGGGCGGGGATTGGGGATTGGGTGTGGGCCGATTTCCCTCGGAAGTGTGAACTTTCGTGGCATCATCATTTTAGCGGCTGCGTCGTGACCTTTGCTGACGGCGATGGCGGCCTTCTGCCCACTGGAGCGTCCCTCCCTGTCAGTTCTCCGTGTGCGTCATCCATATTTCACATCCAGAGTATTGGACTTACGGCTGAAGTGTTGTGACAAATGAAGTCACGTTGCCTTGTGCATGAGCTGCTGGCCCAGTCCTCCGGTGTGACTGGCGTTCGTGTGGGTGTCAGTAAATCCCGCTGGTCTCGCACTCAAGGCGACCACCGCCAATTGACGGAATTATGTGCTCTGTCATGAGTATGACGTGCTTCGTCTTGATTCGTAATGCATTCCGTTTTTCGCTACGGCTATGTTGATCGGATGCGATATGCACTAGACTGGGAATGGTCTGCTCCCGGTGTGATGTGTTGAATCGCAGATCCGGTTTTTAAGTCGTAGATCGTGGTTGTTTTACTCTAAACCTCAAATGTTTCATTCCGTATCTAGTTTTAACATGCTAGGACCTGGGATCAGATGTGCATTGTGCTGGGTGTCGCACTCCCTGTGCCTGCCCGTGGTCCCGCGGTGTGATGTGCTCCGTCGTGGTCCCGCGGTTTGGATGTGTCTCCGCTGTGAGTCCGGCGTGGTGATGTGTCTCCGCTGTGGTCCCGCTGTGTGATGTTGCTCCGCCTGTGGTCCGGCGGTGTGATGTGCCCTGCCGTGGTCCCGCGGTGTGATGTGCTCCGCCGTGGTCCCGCGGTGTGATGTGCTCCGCTGTGGTCCCGCGCTGTGATGTGCTCCCCCGTGGTCCCGCGGTGTGATGTGCTCCGCTGCTGTCCGCCAGGTGTGGGTGCGCGGGAGGCCGACGCGCCGCCGCCGGCGGACGGTGTGCAGAAGTCTGACTCCCTGCCGGAGGAGCGGTGATGGTCGGCCCAGCCAGAACAGCTGCTGAGCTGTGACCGGATCGGCGGCGTGGTCACCTGTGCGCCCGCCCTCGGCGTGAGCACGCTTACCAAACCCATCACATGCACATCTCGTGACACTAGTCCACGGACTTCATAATACAAAATCATCTTAATCAAGTCACGTCACGGTTTTGCGCTGCAGCGGCTTATCCGGATGGACGATTCCGAATCCTGAGTTGAGTACGAAGTCGTGTCGAAGTGGGCCACGTCTTCAGTGCTGCAAGTCGGCGATGGGAATTGTTCTGATATTGATGCGGAGAGCGCGGCACAGACAGTGTCGTCACGCCCTCACTGCGTTGGGTCACGCCTGTTCTTGGGCCCACAGCGGGACGCTGTCGGAGGGCGCACGGCCGGGGGTGGCTTGCTGGGGTGCAGTGGTAGCCAACTGCGGTGTGGAGGGAGAGACAGAGAGAACCCAGAAGACCTACTCCCAGGAGACCTACACTCACTGGACCTACTGGCCTACGCTCTGGCTCTGGCTGTCGTAGGCCACTGGCTCACGAGGCCTACGCTCGCTGGACCTACGCTCAAAAGACCTACGCTTGCTGGACCTACGCTCAAAAGACCTATGATTGCTGGATCTACGCCCACGAAACCTAGGCTCACTGGACCTAAACCCATTCCTGGGCGCAGGCCTGGAGAGCATAGGTTTCCCGGACATAGGTCTCCTGATGCGCCACCGGCACGGTGCAGTGGGTCTCCCCGGTATTCTCTAGAAGGCGTACTCCAGAGCAGCCAGTTGTGACATGGAGCAAATACCGTGGCCCTCTTTGTGGTAGAGGAGACCGGACTGGCAGAACCTGGTATCTGGGCACGTATCAAGACAGCGACCGTCACTTGGCTGGCGTTCCCCTTGGCGAAAAACGTGCCTGAGTCGCTACTTGTGACATCGTAGTGCCTACGTTTTACACAAGCGACTGTTCTTTAGGCCGTAGGGACTGTTGTGACGCATTTCCTCTGACGTCATGGGTTGCAACTCGTGGACGGCGTTCAGTAATGGGGAACGCGACCCAGAGGTCCGGCGAAGTGTGTCAGGGAAGTGGATTACACCACACTGCACAGAGAGGCCCGCAGGGCGCGGCTGGCAATCGCTCTCATCTGGTCTGGAGGTCCCGTCATCTCGCACGGGGACCAGTACAGACTGCGGTCGACCGACCCCCACTGCCGGGACGCGGGCGATACAGACGCCCCGCAACGCCAGCTCACGGTGGCCGACCTGACGGCGGTCGACCGACCCCCTGCCGGGACACGGGCGATACAGACGGCCCGCAACGCCAGCTCACGGTGGCCGACCTGACGGCGGCCGACTGGCCCACCACTGCCGAGACACGGGCGATACAGACGCCCCGCAACGCCAGCTCACGGTGGCCGACCTGACGGCGGCCGACTGGCACACCACTGCCGGGACACGGGCGATACAGACGGCCCGCAACGCCAGCTCACGGTGGCCGACCTGACGGCGGCCGACTGGCCACCCACTGCCGGACACGGGCGATACAGCGCCCGCCGCGCTAGCTCACGGTGGCCGACCTGACGGCGGCCGACTGGCCCACCACTGTCGGGACACGGGCGATACAGACAGCCCGCCGCGCTAGCTCACGGTGGCCGACCTGACGGCGGCCGACTGACCCACCACTGTCGGGACACGGGCGATACAGACGGCCCGCCGCGCTAGCTCACGGTGGCCGACCTGACGGCGGCCGACTGGCCCACCACTGTCGGGACACGGGCGATACAGACGGCCCGCCGCGCTAGCTCACGGTGGCCGACCTGACGGCGGCCGACTGGCCCACCACTGTCGGGACACGGGCGATACAGACGGCCTGCCGCGCTAGCTCACGGTGGCCGACCTGACGGCGGCCGGCTGGCACACCACTGCTGGGACACAGGCAATACAGACAGCCTGCCGCGCTAGCTCACTGTGGCCGACCCGACGGCGGCCGGCTGACCCACCACTGTCGGGACACGGGCGATACAGACGCCCCGCCGCTAGCTCACTGTGGCCGACCTGACGGCGGCCGACTGACACCACTGCCGGACACGGGCAATACAGACAGCCTGCCGCGCTAGCTCACGGTGGCCGACCTGACGGCGGCCGACTGACACCACTGCCGGGACACGGGCATACAGACGGCCCGCCGCGCTAGCTCACGGTGGCCGACCCGGTGGCGGCCGACTGGCCCACCACTGTCGGGACGCGGGCAATACAGACGCCCCGCCGCGCAGCTCACGGTGGCCGACCCGGGCGGCCGACTGACCCACCACTGTCGGGACACGGGCGATACAGACGGCCCGCAACGCCAGCTCACGGTGGCCGACCTGACGGCGGCCGACTGGCACACCACTGCCGGGACACAGGCAATGCAGACAGCCTGCCGCGCTAGCTCACGGTGGCCGACCTGACGGCGGCCGACTGGCCCACCACTGTCGGGACACGGGCGATACAGACGGCCCGCCGCGCTAGCTCACGGTGGCCGACCTGACGGCGGCCGACTGGCCCACCACTGTCGGGACACGGGCGATACAGACAGCCCGCCGCGCTAGCTCACTGTGGCCGACCTGACGGCGGCCGACTGGCCCACCACTGCCGGGACACGGGCAATACAGGCGGCCCGCCGCGCTAGCTCACGGTGGCCGACCCGATGGCGGCCGGCTGCTGCTCACCGGCTTGGTCCTCGTTCATCGGATAAGTGTCAGAACGACCAAACTGCGCCCGCCGCAACGCCTGTATTACACACAGTCTATACAGATATGATAGGGACCGGCGAGCGTCATCAGCCTGAGGGCCAGAGTATGGCGTGTTCCAACGACGGGCACACGCCCAGCCGAGTCCGCCTACCGTGTAGGTCACGACTTCATTGTCCGCCGGCCGCCCAAGTTAAAGCGGCTGCCCAGTTCACCGGTGAAAACATGTGCGCAAATCTCGATAGCTCAATCTTGTTCCCCGCCTGCGACGAGGCAAAAATACGCAGATGAGCAGTTGCATGATCATCACACGTAGAATCATGTCCTTACCCTTATTGCTCCCGTAAGATGTGACTCATTTGTTTTTCATCGAAGCCTCATACCGCAGTGTACGTGGCTGCCGTTATCGGAAATCTGCAAAAGAACTGGGTGGCACATAGCAAGTACGTGGGTGGATAACAAAGACCAAATGAAGCTCACAGAATGTGTCCGCATATGTGAACTTATAACAACGGTTGGCGAGCCCTCAAATCAAGTTATCTGAGGGGACTTGGGACGTGTCCTTGTCTGCCGCTGGTGATGACTTCTGGTTGTTAAGTTACGCAGTGCTGCCAGAACTGAATTAGCACTTTAAAATCTTAAAAGAAAGCAGTGTTAGCTTTCGTGAACATGGCTGATATCCTGCCGACAACGACTTGGCTAAGACTAAGTACATAGTACTGAGAGACGAGGAGTAGGTACATGCCACATCATAGACGGATAAGCTGCTCGGAGCCCTCAGGCATGCGAGAACAAGGTTTCATGGTCCATACCTCATTACGTGGCTTTAGAAGCTAACGACCTATTGACATCCGGCTCCTATATAAACGGTCAACAGCGACGCTAAACACCGCTAATGATTGCAGCGAAGCCATAGAAGGCTTAGCCGAAACAGACAAAGCATTCACAGAAGTTTAAACAGCTTGCGCGAGGGCAATGGCCTCGCCGCGGCCGCGCCGTGTCTTGCACCGGACCGTTTTGCACCGGACGGTGCCGACGGCTGGCGCTGCAGCAATACACCAGGAGGCCAGCCTGCGCCGTCGGCCGCCAGCCAGCCAGCCAGCCAGCCAACCGACCAACCAACCAACCAACTAACCAGCCAACCAACCAGCCAGCCAGCCAGCCACTGCACTCTGCCGATCGCCTGTCGCCTGCGCGGCCGCGCGGCCGCCGACGCTGGACGCCCTGTGTCACAGCGTCACCGCCCACCTCCGTCAGCTGGCGACAGAGAGACCGCCGGCGCGTGCTCTCGGCCCCTGCCAGCGGGAGAGACGGCCAGCGCGTGCTCTCCACCTCGGCCGGCAGGACGCGCGGCGCCTCAGGGCTCGGCGGCGGCGTCAGGACGCCGTCAGCTCGGGGCGGGTCGGCGGGGTCAGCCGTCCGTCGCTCGGTCGTCCAGCGGGGTCGTGACCCTCAGCCCGTCCGCCAAGCCCGCCGTCGTGGACGAGTCGTTCAGCACGTGGCTGATGTTGCGGTACATTTGGTCGTTCTCGCGGCGGACTGGAACAGGACGGCATCGGTCAGCATGCTGGCCGCCGCAGGAGGCGGCGGGCCCGTTGACACACATACACGCGCTCGCACGCACGCACAGGGAAACACTTCGTACGGCGAGCAGCCACCGCCTGAGGCAGAGTGACAGCGCCGGCTCACGCCGGTGAGTTATCCCTTCATACAAACAAGAAATTGTATTGAGTACATTGACGGCGACATTGCGTGCATTGTTGTTACGTATGCATGCACGACATAATAGCATATTTGCTATGACATACATTGTTAAATGGTTATTATTATGCATGTAAATGTATTTTATGTGAGTGTGCATTATACTGCTATTCACCATCGGGTGTGTATAATGCCCATAGTTATCATTATGCATGATGTGCATGATTATTTGCATCATAACCTAATCATGACTACATGAAATGCATATCGGAATGTTCGATACTGACATCGTATGTGAATGATGCATTACTCCATGACAGGGATGTTGCGTAAAAGTACCTTGCCAGCTCTGCACACGACTTGCGTGCTTCAGTGCCGTCATCGCCAGCAGCTCTGGCCAAGGGTTTCCCCACTTCACTCCAGTCGCACCAGTCCTTCACAATACGTGAGCTCACTGACACGCGAGGGCCACATATGAGATCGTATCTTTGCCGGCTTTCAACAGTTGTAAATGAGGCCTCGCTTTGCCACCGCACTAAGGCGCAGCAAGTGCGCTGTTGTCATTTTGCACGAATCACGCAGGGTACATCGGGTACGCTGTTGCATTGTGGAACCTAGGTAACCAGACCCACGCTCCACGGCCGTCCGTCGCCATAAG